GTAAATAGATTTTAACACTTTCCACAGCATTTGCGGGTTTTTATTGTTTTCTTGTATTTGTCGGTTGTCATAGTCAGTTCTAATTTTTCTTAAAAGTTCGTTGCAGAAATTTCTGTATCGAGTGTATATTAGCTTTTTGGACATATTTTCTGGATCAGACCTCAGAGACAGATGAAGATTGTCTCGGTGTTTAATACACCTTATAAGCCCAGGCGTTATCCAAGGTTGTAGATTAAGTTTACTTCGCGGTATTTTGATTTTGTCTGTGTGTTTTTCTATTAGTGCTGTGAGTGTTTTCGTGAGTAAAGTTGCTGCTGCGCTCGCGCAGTTTTGATTCAAAATGTCAGACCAGTCATGTTCAGCTAGTTCCAAGGCTATGTTCTCTTCGTTAGTTTTAAGTTTCCAGGGGTTGTTTTTTTTCCTGGCGGTACTGTTGGAGGGTAAGTGGGCTATAACCATGTCGTGATCTGTAATAGAGCTTTTGCAGGTGATGCCTATCGATTTTGTATTACATTTAATGTATATGTGGTCGATGCACGATTTGTCTCTGGTCGGTTTTGTAATAGCTGGCAGCAGAGAGTACGATGCCATGAGGCACATGTAATCGTGATGTTTGTTGTTGGTGGTGTTAATTATATCAATGTTTGTGTCTCCGATGATTATAACTGTTGAGTATTTGTTTATCGTTTTGAGAAGTTCATCTAATGAGTCAAGGAAATTAGTTAAGTTAGGGAAAGAAGGTGAGCGGTAGAGTCCTAGTAAGGCCACTCTGTTGTTTAAAACTAAAAGCAGGCTGTCAGTGTCTTGTAAGCTGGTTTGAACTATAGATGCGTTATGATGGTTCTTTATATATATGACTATACCTCCATTTTTATTTTGTTGTGTGTTTGTTCTAAAAACGTTATATCCTAGAATATTTTCGAGTATCGTGCCTTCGTTTAGCCAGCACTCGGTCAAGACAATAGCGTCAAAGTTTACCTCGAGCCTTGACAGTGCTACTGAAAAGTCGTCAAAGTTTCGCTGGTAACTTCTAATGTTCAAGGAAAGTATTTTTAAGCCGTCTACCTGGTTAATGTTCTTACAATATTCCTTACATTCGTCTAGTTGATTGAAGTCATGACATTCCAATGTTGTTATTTCGTCAATATTTTGGATAATGTCAACTAACGCCATTATGTAGAAATAAGTAATAATATTTTGGTTTTACGTTAGAAACTGTGAAAGTTGTTGTCATGACATGGCTGGTCGCGAATGTGTAATAAGATAGATAGGAAGCGAATTTGACGTGGATCTGGATTTTAAATGGAAGAATGTATTGTGCACGCATGTACGAGTGTGTTAAAGTGTTTGAGTTTGTGAGGGGTGTGACTTGTCTGTTTTTGTTATTATGTAGGTAGATAGTAGGTGATAGTGGTATTCTGTTGTGTGTGTGAGTTATTTGAGTGAGACGTAAAGTGTGTATATGGAAGCGATATGTGTTTTTCTGTGTTGATTTAGATGATAGTTTTTGTGAGTGTGTGCATTTGTTAGTGTGTTTTGAGTAACATAATATTTTTAGGATACAAAGTAGGTACGAGTAGTTATAAAAGTATTCTAAAAGTAAATCTATGAATATTATTTTAACGAAAGGTACAATTAAATAAGTAAGTTTGCTTTTTAGTTGAATGTAACAAAGCACTAAAATAAAAGTAAAAAATGAAAGATACAAAAAACTAGAGTAGTAAAGTAAAAAGTGACATATGTACTGCTTAATTTCCTGATGCGGCGCCATGCTGCTGGCTTGCTGGCGCAGGGGAGCGCTCGGTCGGAGCGGGGGAGCGCTCGGCCGGAGCGGCCGGTGCGCTTCCCATGTGACGTTCCAGATCTTCCATGTTCTGTATGTGTATAGCGGGGTTGCCCTCTTGCTTGCGAATAAGAATAGCGCCGTTTCGGATCCAGCAGTATTTGTAACCATGTATCTTCGCAGCGTTTCTAGCTGAACGAAATAACTGCCTATTAAAGGGCGTGAGTCGCTCATTCACAAAAATATTTCTCGTAGGTCCAGCTATATCGATATCGGTAGAGGACAGAGATCTTCTCATTCTTGCCGCTTTTAAAAATTCGTCGCGTTTGTATCGGCGTACAAAACGCACTGCCAGATTGCGAGTCGGGGCATCCGATGTATCTGTCTTCTGACGACGGGGTCCCACACGAGACACGAAGTCGATGTCGCTTTCCTCCACGGCTACGCCTATTTTGTGTGCTATTACACGGATAATATGCAGCGGGCTTTCATTTTTCAATTCATCAATTCCACTGATTTCCAGCTCGTTTTTTAGGGACGCTTGGCCTTGGCTATTCAGCTGGTCCCGCAAGTTGGTTATAGTGTTGTTTAGAGTAATTATCTCTTCTTCGCGTTTTTCTAGCGTTTTTATACGAGTGTCGTATTCCTCGAGGCGGGAGTAGCATTGAGTCAGATGCTCGCTGAGGTATTTAATGTGACTCTTTAGATCACCGACATCACCCCGTAGTAACTGTATCTCGGAGCTGAGCGAACGCAGTATCTCTGAGTCGGAACTGTTCCTGTTTGGAGGTAAACCTCGGGGTGAAAGGGCGGCTTGGTCCGGCTTACAAGAGGAGCCGACGGTATTTTTGCCAGGCTCGTCAGGATCGGGTACAGACCTCGCAGGAGAAATTGTTTTCTTCGGTCCCTTGTTCAGACATGTGGGGCAGGTCCAGGTCGTTTTGGTTTCATTTGATAATCTAGTTTGATTAACAGCATTAGCGCATGCAACATGAAACAGCTGATCGCACTTGAAGCATTTAATGTTCGATGAGCGGAGTGGTTTTAGGCAAAGGGCACAGTTATTTGCCATTATTATTTTGTTTTAGGATAGTACGTATTGAAAAAATACAAGCAAGCGCGGTAAATCGTCGCAGGTATTCCAGGAACCACGGCGCGTGTGGATTTCACGCTAAGTGCGACAGAGACAAATTATTTTGAATCACGCAGCTCCTCTCGTTTACTCGGGGTGAGGAGGAGCTTACCTCGGCGCACTCGACACTACGCGACTTATTTTGCGATATTTTTTGTGAATTTGTTTTTTATTATTACACTGCACTTTGGATCTAATCACTATCTAAGTAAGAGTTAAAGTTCAGTAGCAGATTTGTTTAAATTTAAAGAAAGGAGATTAAATTGTCAAACACACGTCCACCGTCTACTGGGCTTTCGCAAAATGATAAGCTTTATCCTCCGTGCCACCACGAAGAAAACCAAATTTATCATTTTTTTATTCATTAATTACTATCGTAATCAGCGGAATATTAACAAATGCTAAAAATTATTATAACAAGAACTAAAGGTGCGTGAGTAAATAATTCGTTAAAACAATTCTTTGGGAATATTTCGATTTGTTAAGATATGTATATGTGTATAAATTAATAGAACTGCACTTCTTTGAGCTGACTTTTCTTATTAATTTAACGTTTACTTGTTTTACTGCCTATCTTAGTAAATTATAAATATAAAAAATATTTAAATTAAACACTAACCTCCAATTTGTGGTTGTCATGAGGTCTTAACTAGATTCTGACCAAAGGTTTCTTCGACCGGGGATCATGGATCATTCGCGTGGTGGTCGCGTGTTCGTGATTTTACATCGTTGGTCGTATGGTAATCATACATATCATTCGTGAGCGATAAAAGGCAAAACCGCATGAATAATATAAATGAACCGTATTGATTAGAGAAAAGAAAACATTGCCGAAGAGTAATCATATGACGCGGCACCAGGATGACATAATTCATTTAAATATTGCCTTCCCAACACAAAAATCTCCCCTACCTTCCTGTCACTAACTTTAAAGGTGACTAAAGCAATTAATGAAGATCAAAGTATCTGCATTCTCCGATAAAGCTTGCACCTTGTAAATTACGAGCATGGCCAATCCACCAGGCAAGCGTGGTCAACTCTAGCCAAATAGGACCTCTTAAGCTACAGTCGTGGCCATTCCACCGACTTGCCTGGCGTGGATGGCCAACTTAAGTAAAATGTGGAGGTAATGACAAACCCAAAATTAAGATCTAGAAGGCTCAGGAGAAAACCAAATAAAAAGATCGAATTTAATTTATCCAATAAGAAATCTGGGTATATTTTACTCTCAAAACTTCTGGGGCCAAAAAAAGTCAAAATCAATTATTTCAATTAGACCACAGTAGGCACTTTTGAACGTCAAGAAAAAAAAGGAATAAAGTATTTCAAGAGCTTTGACATTAAGCGTGTCAGCCTGTCCGTCTGTCCTCTAGTGAAGCTATTTGCTCGTTCCAAAGTGTAGATTCCTATGGAGAAGAACGAGCAAGAAACTCCATGGTTACTCATTTTCAATCAATTTTACAATACATTTCTTTGTTACATAATTTAGTCGGTTCTGATATGTGAGAACAGTGTAACACTAATGTTTAGGCAAAGAATCCGAAAAAGAAGTTAACCACAAGGATATTTAGACAGCCTGGAGATGACCAGTCCCAATAAGCGGCCCCGTTCACGAACATGACACGTACACCAGCACCGCCCAACTCAACCATATTTTAGGGAATCGAGCGATCCAGTGCCCGGTCCAAGACCAATGAGACCTCTGAGTGAGCATGACAACTCCCAGCTGACATAAATGTACCCATATTCTACAAGTCTGACGAAATTATAATAGGTTACAGGGCTCTCACATTAACAAAAAAAGTTGATATTTATATTTTCAAATTTATTGTTGTCAAAGTAGGCCGGTTTTTCAATGACTTTGATATTTTATTAAATGAATGTATGATAATCTTGGTTGTTCAGGTCACTAGGCTTAGGAGCAGTGTATATGAAAACTATAGCGATATATCACATATGGTGATGCCAAAATGTACATAAAAACCCCTCACAAAAAGAAATCACCTATGAAAATACTTTAAAATTTAAATAATACCTGTATAACATATTTTAATTGTTATTTTAATTAGTTTTGATAATACTCACCGAAGCGGCAGATCCTGGAGGAAAAGCAAGATGGCGCCTCTTCCTCACAGAAACCAGCGAAGTTTTTATATTAGGACATTCCTTAGTCGAATTCACTGAAGACACACTTGAAATGTGGCCTATTAAAATGAATATTACTAACAAAAAATATGACTGGATATCCATTGGGGAATGAAATCCAAATTATGGAAAAAATATAGAATTAATGTCCCTGTAGGATTAATATTTCAAATAATTTGTCAATATTTGATTAATTTATTTTCAAAATGTCTATTTTCGCGTGGTGTAGGTATATTTCGTGCGGCTAGGCTCAACTAGATGGCTTCTAATAATAGTCGGTAATAAGTTATATGTATCAGAGCATGACGTGTGAGTTTTTCAATACGTTTTCACACATTGCACACATTGAGCGTAGAAACGGGATAACGAAGTGATGGCTTAGTATGGGTGTATTTGGGGACAGTTGATCGTGGCAAAGTCCGTGAACCTAGTAGTGTTGAGACGAATTCTTACAGCTATTTTTAGCACTACGTATTTTTTGTGAATCAATATTGAAAGTATTTTTGAATTCGGATCGTTCTCCTTTAAGTGACATTGATAAGGAAATTAAAGAAGGTTAGATATCGAATTATTAAAATGTTATATAAATTCGAATGATCTTTCGGGGTAATCACACAATATCACCATAGGCTGATAATATGGGGAGAACTTAATCCATCAGCAAGACCAATTTTTTGGGTCTCGTAGTTGAAAAACAACTATACTGTCAGGTTGCTTCCAATAAACACGTATTCTTCTTTAAAGGCTTTTGACAAAGTAAAGCTTTCTACAAACTAAATCAAGTTTGAAGAGGATCTCAAAAATTTGACAATATTCAAATTTTGCCTCTAGCCTGTCGGCTTCTTTCTTCTGTTTCTTCCCTTGTTATCTTCTGTCAGCTCAAGAAGGTGTACATTAAAATGTACGTTATTTCTCAATCATTTTTATTCTTTAAATATAATATGATTAGCATTACTTCTGGATTTATGACATATTCACACGACGAAAGCTTCCTTCTATCAGATATTCCATTTAACCTTTTTATGCTATTTCATTTATTTAAAAAGTGCCTATGTATGTGATTTTAAACCACAAAAAAATAAAACTGAAAATAACTTAAACTGGCGTATGGCGTACATATCCTTATAATAATAATTAATAAAAAAAAAGAAAAATAAAAAAAAGAATGAGTATTTAGTTCTAAATTCAAATTAACCAATCTTGTCTATATTATTTTGTCTCCAACTGTACGTTCAAACGTGTGCTATGTGTGTGTTAACCAGTAGGAAAATTAACATTTCGCGCCATAAATGTGATTTCAATGAAACCACCTGATTGGTTTACACACACCACAAATCCGAATCCGAAATCCAAAAAATGTATCCGACAAAGCAGTAGATATCATGCCCATAATTAGAAGATTTTTTATGCGGATATTTCAATTATAATTATTTCTTTGTATATTTTACGTAACTATGTATTATTAATAATATAAATGATATAATTGACAAATTATAATGATTTGCATAATTAATAAGAAAATTGAAAGTTTTTCGTCATATGCCTCATTCTTGTCTTGCCCAGTTTTCGCCTGGATATATTATTCCACTTGTTACATTAAGTGAAGTGTTATTTTGCTATAAAGCCAGATACAATTTATCGGTACTCTTATGCCTCTCATTATTGACTAATTGTTCTCGTATCTATTTTATTATAGTAGCAAAAAATTATTTACTAGAAATAAATGTTTTTTAAGGTAGAAATCCATCAAATGGCTTCTCTCGTTCTTAGTAAGACATGTAAGAGAGTCTTACTGATAAAAACTATCAACTGTCACTGGTCCGAGACCACGGTAATAATGGGTTGAAATTGACAAGCTTTGGTATAAAAATCACAGTTGGTTTTTTTATGGAATAGAAGACAAACAAGGAGACGGGTCATCTGATGGCATGGTCATCAGCGCCGACACATCTGGAGACCTGCGGCACCAGAGGCGTCACAGGCGCGTTGCCGGCCTTTTAAGAAGTAGTACGCTCGTTTCTTGGAGGTTTGAAGGTCGTATCGGTTCAGGAATACCGCTGCCGGAAGACCATTCCATTGTATTCCATAGTTTCGCTGTGCGGAGCAGAAAGTGTCGCGTAAATCGCTGTAAAAGTTTTTGACTGCTAACCAGCTATGTGATGGGAATGAAGACACTTTCGCGTAGAACGATGGCGAAAAAATGCAGCAGGGATCCAACCGAACAATTTATAGAGAAATAGAGAACACATATCGAGACTAGATCCCTACGCAGTGCCAAAAAGTCCAACCGGTCCGATATAATAAGGCAATCAACTACGAATTACGAGGAATACGGTCCAGAGGGAAAAACTGGTAAATATACAAAAATATGCTTATTTAAAATTTAAAAGTATTTTCATGAAACCAAAAATAAATATACAATTCAGTTTAAACTGAAAGAATTTATTTAAAGAATTAATTTAAATTAAAATTAAAAATTTAATCGTGTACATGTTAAATACACGCAGCAAAAACATACGCAAGAAATATTTAACAATAAAGCAATCCCTTTACACTTAGCTTGGTAGGTAGATTTGGTAACTACCAGTTACAATCATATACCGCCTATGGATTTTTGAGTGGGCGAGATGGAGTGTCAGCCCCTTACTGACTGAAAACCACCCCTTCTTCTTCTCTCGGTCGAGCCCTCAGTACATTGTACACATTGCACTGACACGCACAACTCTCGCTGTACAAATGGCTGCTTATTCAGACTCACTCATAGGTATGTATTTGCAGAATCAACGTGTCTGAATCAGAATCTACATTTTCACTCATATTTTAGACGGTAAAAAAACAACTTTAAATAATTAGAAATACACAGTATTAAATACATCTTAATTGCATTTTCATTTGTATTTTAATCGTCCATTATTTCATTTCAAACAAAAAAGGCTGAACCAACTAATTACTATCAACTCAATAGTATAACATACAGCCTGCTCTACTACTCCACGACTGAAAAGAAAAACGTCGTAACTACAAAATTACGCATCAACCAAAAATTACTCTAAAAACAGTTTAAACAAAAAAGTAAAAAAATCAGAATCGCATGCAAACCTTATCTATACAAAGATAACGTAAAATGTGATTCGTGCGCGCTTCCAACTTGTTCACTGACCCGGGATGTTGGATCAAAGAATTAGAGCCTCACCTACCCTCATTAGCTCAGTCACGAGTCACACCTCCTTGGAATCCGAATGCTATGCTGCTGCAAAATAAACCCTAACTTACCAAACTTACAGAATATTATCATTCTAGCATTTTTTCACCATCGTCATTAACCACAGAGTTATGCGTGAATGGGTGTAGTATTTAAAATTAGTGTAATAGGTTCATATCGTTGACATTCAACTACAGACAGGTTCATCGTGACATCGTCCTGATATTGTCATTATTTATTTAATAATAGTTATGCAATTTCTGTATCGTTTTGATTACGTCATAGTCGTGTCTGTCAAAGTGGTTTTCTCTGATTACGTAATCATATTGGTGTATAAAAAATACCTCTTTTATTGATGATTAATGTGTTTCTACAACTACAACTACAGTAGCAAGTTCCGCGCCGTCTAAACAGCTCCTCGACTCCTGTTGATCGTAGCCAGATATATATTTTATTTCTGTAGCCTTTTTCATTACAGAAATATTAGCGCGTTCAAACGAATAAACAAGAAAAAATGGGCTCTAGGAAATCGGTACAGTTGTTTCATTTAATGAATGTCATTTGAAATTATTACAGTAAAAGACAATATTAAAAATTATTGAGATCAGTAACAGAGGCTAAACAATAACAGTAATAATACATATATACAAAAGCGTTTGAAAAGGGAAATCGAATAAAGTATAGAAATTTAAAATAAAACCAATAACAATCAACTATAAGCATTTTTATTCAAACCTAAAATAACTTCCAACAGTGAAATGGGGCAATCGTGGATTCTTTCACAAACGTTCGGTTCCAATAGTTCGTTATAAGTTTCATTAACTTCATCCTTAAATCCTTCTTCGTGAACTGGGGCACTTGAAACAAAAAACGAATAAGTTTTATATATTATTGATTGCACAAAGTATTCTTACCAACAATAATGGCGATATTTTTTATCTTCTATGTAAGTGCTGACAGCTTGTATTGAGGGTGAAGCACTAACATCATCATTATCATCATCATTGCTGGACATAAGGTCGTCGTAGGTCGACCTTGTGTGTGGACGTCTTACTTTGAAGATTGAGCACAACATAGGTACATGTGAAACATCAGTATAATAGCCAAAGTGTAGTATTTAATACATGATGATGTGTGAAATCTTCTATTGAATAGGTATTGTTTATTTCTTTTATCTAATTGTGAAACATATTGCAATGAGTAAGCAAGGAGTTTTGTGCCCCATTTTCTCCACTTAGGAATCTACAGTTTGAAATGGGCTAATCAAGCGATTAGCCCATGTAGATTCTCAAGAGGCCAACCAACCAACAGATTGGCAAACACAAAGTTTTACTTTCTGATATATATTATTCGTCTGACGTTCGAAAGTTCTCCAAAGTGATCTATTTGAAATAAATGATTTGCCTTTTGTGCGAAGCAAGCAAGCGTGATGTTTAATGCTCAAACCTCCTCCGTGTGAGAAGAGGCCTTTGCTCAGCAGTGGGCACTTATAGGCTGATGACGACGATGACGATGACGTGTCAATTTCATCCCTAATAAAAAAGTGTTTAGTCCCTTTTGTGTATTTTTCAGAAATTTAGATTCGTTTGTAATAAAACTTATATCAGCTACTCTACCAAAGCTATCATAAACTGTTATTTCAAGTCTTTACAGATGTTTTCTGAACAAACGTTTCAAAAGAACTAAAGAATCAAGGAGACAAAAACTTACAAGAATATCGCCCTTAAAATGTCATGCACCAAAGACTTTCCCGGTGGAGCCAAATGTGTTCTAGCTTCACATATGCTTCGATAAATACAGGAGCGACCGTTCAAGTTGTAACTGGAAAACAAAATGATTTACTGAACACTTGTTACGGAAAACTTAGTGTTGCGAAAGAATTTTCTCCTCAGAAATAAGCGTAACGGTTTAATGCTTAAGAGTTTGTTGAGAAAGGTAATAATTTGGAAGATAAATAATAAAAAGATAAAAGAAGACCTATGAAATTAATTCATTATTTTGGATGATAATAACAATATTTTCATGGTATACGGAGCAGACGGATTACCTGATGGTAAGCAATCAGCGCCGCCCAGGGACACCCGCAACATGGAGTTGTTGTCGAGTGCTTTGCTGGCCTAAAAGTATACTGGTATAAAAGTTTAGGATATTTAAGGATTGGGAAGAGATGGGGGACGGGGAGGGATTGGGCCTCCGGTAACCCCACTCACACGGTGAAACACTACGCTGTGGTTGTTTCACGCTGATTTACTTCGAATTCGTGGTATCACTAATAAATTATTCAAGCCTGGCAAGTACTATTGTGACTTATCTAAGTAGTATATACTTTCTAAGTCTTTTGAGTTACTACTGACAAACGGTGAAGGAAATCATCATCAGAAAACCTGGACTTCCTGGAATCCACCTTGAGCAAGCGTGGTGATTAATGCTCAAACCTTCTCCGTGTGAAAAGACTTCAGCAGTAGGCATTTATAGGCTGATGACTACAATCCTATCTCTCCTTTCTCCTCGTCCCCTATCTCCGATCACCAATGAACAAATCTCTAAGAACCCACAAAAGGCTGGCAACGCCCTCGTAACCTTTTTTATTGTAGGTACCATAGGCGGAGCAGGTTACGTACCTCAGGTGATCCAATCAACTTGTTTGTTACCTTTTCCCATTAAAAAGATAAATTAATGAGTTAAATATTATGCTATAATATAGTATGCCATAGAAGTTTCTATATCCAATCTGCACGTCAAATTTGTTATAGATATAAAAACAAATCAATACCTCTTATAGTAAAGTTAATAAAATTTTCTTTACCTATCAAGGGCATTTTGCATCTTTTCCCAAAATTCTCTCTTCTGTCGATGGTGAAGTTTCTTTCTGAACAAAGCATTTGTCACTGCTGGGCTCAGAAGTGGATAGATGACATCGATTTCGACGGCAACATTCCAGCCTGACGGAGCATGCACCATTATTGCTTTGAGCACTGACATTGTCAGCTGAAAAGCAGACAAAATTACTTTAAGAGCCTGTTTTTAAATAAAGAAATGCCTCTCTCCACAAAATCAGATAAAAAAGAAAGAAATAGACTTGATTTGAAAGAAGTGGACTTGATTTGAATGCTCTGTCTCCTTCGTGGTTTGAAGAAAGAAGACTGAAGAAGAAAGAGAAGCAAATGTTACTTTTAGGTTAAACTTTGACTTTTTGTAGTTTTGAACTATTTCGCTTCTGTAAACGATGCTGATTGGTGATTTTTATCCAAACAAAATTCGAAGTGTTGCCATTTCCACATAAGAAGATAAGTATTCTAAAATTCGTCTTATAAATGAATTCTCATTTACATCCAACTAAAATACAAGTATATCTTTTATTCATACATAATGAAGACCACAGTCTCGGTAATATTTCCATTATACTAGTTAAGCTCCAAAATGTATATTATGACAACGACAAGAGAAATGAGTTTATATAAAAACTTAAGGATTCCTACGTTTTATATTATGTGGTAGTTGTTTGAAGTTTGTCTCTATGTTAATTACTGTAGAAAGAAGTCAATTTGAAATGTGAGTTATATGTATGCTATTTGAATTGCTTTTTTAAGGATCACTCAGTAATGCTCAATAATTATTGGAATAATTGTGAGTTTTTCGGCGATACATTAATAATACATTTTAAACATAGTACTCAAACTTTTTACCGACGAATTATTTTCGATGTAATGAGGATTTGTTAAGTTATCAGCAACAAGTTCCGACATTGTGACAACTTTCTTACATCGTATTACGAAAGTACATTTTAAATTCATCATTGAAAGAAGAGCGTTAATATGGCAAGAATCTTGAATTACAATTAATATCATAGTTGTAGTAATAGTATTTATATTATAGCAACATTAAATGTTCTGTCAAGCTTTGTTTCAAGTATGACTTTTCATAATTCACTCTTTATTATGTGTCATGTATACAGTACTTACAACCATAGCAGTTCCTTCGGGGAAGGTCAAATGCCTTCTCTTCCTCAAGCCATTCAATGGAGCTCTCACATTGTCACACCCCTTCCTTGCATTCACACTAAACAATTCACTCACTAAGAAAACTATCACAATGTACTGTACATTCATATTCTACCTTCAAAGAGAGCAACTAAAAGTTTAAACAATACGTAACACATTTGTACCGATATTCACGTGACTTTAAAGATGGCGTCGTATGGACAGACCAAACAAATGAAGATTCTTTTTTATTTTATTTTTTTTGTTATTCCAAAGTGTTGTTCCAAATATGACTGAAGTCAAAATCAATTTGCTGTTCAAAATTCGTAATAGGCATGTGACTTAAGTTCAGTGACCTTCGATTTTTGAGTTTACCTGTTGTCTATTTATTATCTAATTAGCATGTAGTGATACGTACGTCTGCTTAAACTGAGAGACCTACATTTATATTGGTGTAAACTAGTTTGAGCTAGATTAGTGCTTAAGAAGGATTAATATGTTTAAATATTATTTTTACTTTTTATAGTTGCAAAGTGCAACGATCATTGCGACCACAGCACAGCTGTGATTGCAAGTGCAACTATTTATCGCTCCTACGTCCGTAGATCACAGAGTAAGAGAGAAGGCATACTCTATCTCGCTCTATCCAGGACGAGAAAATATAGGTATTGGAGGATTAACTCCACTTAAAAAAATACAATGATCGAAGGTGACATAACCTGTACGTCCACTTTTTTTTAGCTCTTAGTTGATTTTTATTTCTCATCCCTTTAAAATTAATTATTTTGTAGACAAGTCAGGTAGCACAAAATTATAATAATAATACTCTTTTTAAAAGCTTCTTACAACATTTCATTATAAAAGAATAAATTAAAAAAACAGTAATTAACAGTAATTACCATATTTTATAATTTATTTAGCAGCAGTAGTAGACTTCTTCCAGCTGCTAGTCATGATGAACTGACTATTTTAAATTATTTTTATGAGAATAGGATTTCCTTTCACTCACTCGACCTATCTACTAAGCCCACATTGATGATATCAGACCTATTTTATAAAATTTGCCTTTTTATTTTATTAATGAAAACGAGGGTGTGGATTCGAAACCTGGCAAGTACCAACGTGACTTTTTCCGAGTTATATGTACTTTCTATGATTATTTAGACACCACTGACATACAGTGAAGGTAAACATCGTGAGAAAACCTGGACTTATAATTTCTAATTATAAGTTTGAAATCGCCAACCCGCATTGAGCAAGCGTGGTGATTAATGCTCAAACCTTCTCCGTATGAGAAGAGGTCTTTGCTCAGCAGTGAGCACTTATAGGCTGATGATGATTTTATTAATTTCTAAATTATGCAGAATTAAAAGTGAATAGGCAGACGGGTTATCTGTTTCTAAGTAATTAACGCGGTCTAACGACACCCACAACACCAGAGGAGTTACGAATATGTTTTCGTACCTTTAAATTCATTGAAAAGTTCACGAGTAGCGCCCCGTCCATACTAATCGGATGTTTGTATGCAGTTCGTGATTGTCAAGTTCAGTGTTGTTTTAAGTAATTAGAGTATGTCTGCGACTCTGCACTTTCGGTCGTCGTCGTGCTCGATATTCGTTGTTATGCAATGTAATTAATTATGTTTTATTGATAAGTACACAATAAAAATGTGAGAGGAAAATCATCAAATGACTTCTCTGGCCCAGGGTACAGCGAACGGGAAGGTCACAATCTAACATATGATGATGAACATCGGCTCTGGTGGCCCCGTCTGCAGTAGTCAATTGGCTCTCAGAATGGTACGCTCGGGTCTGGTTCTGGTCAGGCGGCAAGCTACCCTTACTCGCCGACTGCACACCCGCACTATAGTGGCCGGAGATCGTCGTCCGATCCCTGTCACCCGGAATGTCGATACTGATACACTTAACGTTTGATTATGAATTTGTCTCAGAACTATCTAAACGGATTTGTTCCGACTGACACTTTGGTTTTGTTAACGCTTTTATGCTGCAAATGTTTTTTGTAATTATGTTCAATATCAAAAATTTGGAAATGTAGTTTGAATTAATGTAGGTATGTACCTTTTTTTAAATAAACCATTGCCGCACACTGGAAATTTTCAGCGGGAGGAAACATTCGTCGTCATTGCGAGGACCACCTAGAGGATACAGTGGAGCCTACGGTGGTGGTATGCCCTGCCTGAGTTGAGCACCCCCGCATCCTCTAGGAAGTGATCGGCGGCGGCGACCTGTCGCGCCCAACCTTAGTCGAGGCCATGGTGCGGTGCGAGAGGAACTGGGGCGCTTTCTCCTCCTTGTGTGGAGCAGTTATGCTCGCGAAGAGGGAAGCTGCCCGCTTGAGGGAGCAATCCTCCTCCTCGTGCCCCAGCTGCCGCAGCAGGCGACACTACTGGCGTCGGGGATCGAGGGACGATCTCCGGCTACCGTAAGCCGGGGTCTGCGGACGGCGAGTAAAGAGCCAATAGACCACCACAGACGGGGCCCTATAGGGCTGATGTTCAGGGGTTCAGGGGTTGCGTAGTAAGCGCAATGAGGCACAGACAACATTTTTGGACCACACAAAGAGTGGTTTCGTTTGGAAATCGAAACCCCGACACGTCGAATGTAAATTAAAACGTATTTTTTTGCAAATGGCAATAATGTAATTTGATAAAGTAAGTGGGAGTAAGTTTCCCAAAGGCTCTTCTATCTCCAATCTCTTAAAAGCTGGCAAAGCACTTGCAACTGCTTTGTTACTGCGGGTGTCGGGAGCATGGTCGACGCCAAATACTTACTATCAGGAAATAGGATGGCTCGTTTGCCGCCGTATCACATTAAAATTAACAATTTTAGAAATATACAAAAAATAAAATAACAACACGAACATCAATTTCAGTCTATATTATAAAATTGTAATGCACAAAATAATAACCATATTTTATACCTACACAACACACAACGTTACATATTATGTACATAAATCGATTCAAACATAAACCAATAATGGGAAAAATAAACAATACATCCATTAATTTTATTGCTAATAGAAAATAAACAAAACATTTTTATTTCACCGTCTGCGTTACTCCATAGAAATGGCTTCACATTTTGGGTACAGTACAGAACAGTCTCCATTAGACCCTGGGGCATCATGATAGTGCTTATGAACTTTGGACATGGTGTCAGGGACTTTTGGTAATCTGAAATTATGTTCCAAGTTTAGCACACAAGGAAATACCGAGTACAACGGCTGGCTATTAGGAGTACAGAATTCTATGAGTTTAAAGTTAGTGAACTGTGTTGTAGACTCAACTTGTACTATATAGGTATGTTGATTTAATTTGAAAATTTGAAATTTTTAATTTGGTTTTGTAATAAACTGGCTTTCCTTCGCGGCTTTGCCCGCATCTTATGATGATAAACAGCTAATCCAAAGTATCACCTAACTACATACCAAATTTCAACCAAATCTGCCCAGCCGTTTTTGCGTAATAATAAAAATACATACATACATTCTCTCAAACTTTCACATTTATAATATTAGTAGGATTTTACATAATAATTTGTAATTCGTCTATGTGAATAAACTGTGGACATTCCTTTGACCTTTATTGCCAAAAAATGACCACTTACACCCGGTTTCTGAAAGCCTTGTCAAAGCTAAAATTAACTAATCTCCTGTTAAATCTCTTGTCAAGTCATCCTTTCGGAAACCGGGTGTAAGTCTCCCAAATAAGTCCATGAGACTTCTTTTAATTAATTATGCTCTTACGTAAACACGGCCCGTAGAATCTCTGCCACAAACGACGCCTGTTTGCTTCTCTGCTTTCCTGTCACACACAGCATTTTCAAGATGCACTCTTTGCCGTCCAAACCTAACCTGGGAAAATAAACTAGGTAAATAAATTAAGTGTTAGATACAAGAATCTGATAAACATATTTAATAAATAATTTTGTCTGTAAATCTGTGAAAACATGTTACAACTTAAAATTATAATATTTTGAATTGTTTTATTTTAATTTGACCGGAGTGATACCGAAACATCACCGTAAAACGTAGACGTTGAGAGTCGCTGAGTGAGGTTACCGGAGGCAGAATTACTCTCTCCCATACTCCTATATCTAATCTCCAAATTCCTTAAACCTCTACACCCCAAAAAAAAAAGCAACGCCCTTGTTAACTCCTCAATATTATGCATGAGCGACGACGATACCATCAATCGGTGACCGTTTTCCTATCTATCCTATATAGTTTTGTATAAAGTGAAGAAAGAATAAAAAAAACATCGACCCACATAACAATTTGTCGTGTACATAAATATGAAGTTATGGACATGTCATTGCAATTTCAGTATATTTTTAAATTGGAATTTTAACATAAAACGAAGCAACATAGTTAAAAATATTAAAAAGTTTCGAAGCAAATAAATCCAGTCTTACATTTATGAATGCTACTTACGTTTGCAAAAACTTTTCCAGTTTTGCATAAATTTCCTGTCTCTCGGTTCTATGGTGCTCAATTCTTGTTGCATCTAAATTCTCGAAGAGCATTTTATTTTCCTGCAACTTATGCATTTCCTTTATATTGAACTTTGTGATGTTTCTTTTATTTCTTTCCGCTGCATCGACACTTCTCTTTGCTAAAGCTGGGTTTATTAATATCTTTCTGCAGATAAAAAATATGAAGGTCAAATCATTTGAACTTGTTATCTAATGTGATTGTCGTAGATACAGTTTAAATGCTTTAGCACCACAAAGAGCTCTCTCGTTATTATAATAGGATTGTAAATAAATATATGGCGAAAATGAATACACCATATTTGCATTAATTGTAGATTCGAAAACTGCCCCGTAAGTAGGATTTTGCGGACAGTGAGTAAGGGTAGCTGGCTGTTCAAAACAATACTCAAGAGTACGCCTCGTCACAATCTGTGTAAGCCTTACAGAGCCATCCGACCACCACAGAGGAACCCCAGCAGGGCCAGTCATGATGTACCGCGGCACGATTAGAAGTTGAAGAAGGAGTGGTTTGGATTTTAGACAGTCAGAGTCTTACTCTCCCGCACGCCCGGGGCGACAAAACTTTTGACAGTATTCTTTATAAAAAACTAACACTTAACAGCTTTACATTTTCAAAAACCAAAAGTAATAAAAATAGGTGTAAGAAATCATCAGTTATTAAAGAAAATTACCTTTTATACTCAACCTTGTCAACAATTTTGCCATCTTCATCTACATAATAAAGAATGTCCTGTCTTCGTTGACCTTGGTAAGCCTTAAGGTCCTTGAACATGTCAAAAGCCCCAGGGTCAGTTGGCAGTTCCCAGGCCAAAGCTGCGGTGGTACCAAACCATACGATGTTGCCCAGTTGGAGGTACCCATGATTTTGAGTACAGAAAACTAAAATTTAATCAGTAAACAAGTTATCGCCTGTTGATATCAGTTACATTATTTTGAATAAATCTTGGGCTGCTCTAGTGGCCATTTTTAAAGATGAAGGTATCATTTAAAGCTAGGCATGTATAGCTAAAGACTATAAGTTGTGCTAATTACGTGTTACACACGTGGATAAAACTGAATTAGAGATTTGTTTCACTGGTCTACCTCTCATCCTTGGCAGGCAGTAGGGCAGGCGAGCCTAATGAAGCTTGAAAAGAAGGATATCTTCGAGTATTTATACACACGTGTTGCTATTGAACCTGTCCATATAATAGCCCCAGTGATGGTATTAAGCCGTCTGTGATTCACGATACCGCATCCATACGTGAACACAATAACTTACCAATTTGAAATGAGCTTCCATCGGGAAAGATCAGGAACCTTTTCCTTCTTGACAATAATTTGGTTGGTTCATCCTTATTTTGCAATTCTTCTGACGATGTTACATTTGCTTTGATTTCGATACAGATTACGTTTATTAGGAATAATAAAAGGAAATGTTTCATATTTCCCTGTAAAAGAATGAAATGTTTCAAAATTTTTCGTTACTCATATCACGGAATTACCAAATAAGTGATCAATCTCAAAACCAATTATACTTCTAAATTTAAACAGTGTTTCATGGTTTTTGATTGAAATAGCACATTTTGTTATCTTCACAATGTTTTTGCAGAAACATTAACTCATTTAATCAGTAAATAAAGTTAATTAAGACTGTATACTTACAACGCTACAAGTCTTCAAAGAATGTTACCCTTTTCAAATTCCAAGAAACGACTGGCATGCATACTGAAACAATGGCCCCACGTACTTAGCGTATTTGCATAAAATTTCAACGTTTGTGCAAATAACGACAAATTGTTTTTGAGAAACATGCTAATGAAAAGTACCAAGGAGTATAATCTGACCCTTATTTTGAATATTGTCCGTCGGTTTGTGTATTTTTTTTTGGATATTTAAACCGTTAGTACCGAAACAATACTATGACAACTGATGGAAATGTTTTTTTTTATGTAATCAGCAAACGAGCAGACGGATTACCTGATGGTAAGTAATCAGCGCCGCCCATGGACACCCGCAACGGAGGAGCTACGAGTGCGTTGCCGACCTTTTAGGGATAAGGGATTTGGAGATTTAGGAATTGAGGAGGGATTGGGGGTGGGGAAGGATTGGGCCTCCGGTAACCTCACTCACACGGCGAAACACAACGCTGTGGTTGTTTCACGCCGGTTTTCTGTGAGGCAGTGGTATCACTCCGGTCGAGCCGACCCATTCGTGCCGAAGCATGGCTCTCCCACACTAAAAAAATGTGTTTTGATTTAGTTATAACATAAGAAAATAATACTTTATTTCCTTTTCTCTGTTAAATGTTTTCATTAGTTAATTACGTTAACTAAGAATGGTAAAACTGCGATTAACAGCACAGGGAATCCTAGTTTAAGTGACTGTGATTATGTTTTGAAATGTAATTTTTTTAACTCAATAAAGATCTTTGTTTATCGAAATAATATGATGACCATTTTTGGTATGTATCAAGATCACTTATACGCACTACATTCAACAACATTGAAACTTAATTAAGACCTGTGTTACCATACTCGATTTACATCATGTTTTTAAAACATTGTCAAAAGATATGAATAATCAAACAAACTTAGACTTAAGCAGCACTAAAGGACATTTATTAACTTTTAAGGTCTATAAAACCATACTCCTCCATATAACTTATTTTTAAAAACACTTTGAATAAAATATTCTCAGTAAAAAAAATTCCAAGCATCCAATCTCAGCCACTTGATAGAGAAACCCGATGTTTACAAGCGGAAAATGAAAAATATATTAAAAATGTTCTCTACACGGAAAGGAATTTCAAGTAGGAAAAAACAACGTAAGAAAAAGTACTCAAATAGCTTTTGCTTTATTTAATATAATGTTTAAATTATGTTCAGAAGACCTTGAGTGGAAATTATTAGGCTTCTTTACTTTCTGACGTCCTGGTACTTTCGTTTGGTCAGGACTTGTTATAAACCGGTTGTGCCAATAATTATAGTAGGATTGTTTCTTGCTAATTACAATTAAATGACATTATGCCTGTTGGTACAGTTGGTTCTGGAACTATTTATTATTTTCATTGGTACTTATCTCCGTAAGCTCAATCTTAGGTTTATTCTAAGAGTAAGTACATAATTCTTAAAAAAAATACATAAATTTGTTCTAAATAAAAAATAGCACTATGGGGTTTTTAAATTAATTTGACAAACTTTAGTAGATTAAATAAACTAGAATCAGTTGAGCTTGACCTCATAGCGTGGGAAAGCCAGACTTACACGCGAATGGGCCGGTTCGAGCAGAGTGATACCACGGCCCTACAGTATATCGGCGTGAAACAACATTAACGTTTGGTTTCGCTGTATGAGTGAGGTTATCGGAGGCTCTATCCTAAACCCCTCAGATTCCCTATCTTTAAATCCGTTAAAAGCCACAAAAAAGACTGGCAATGCACTTGTAGTGATTCCTTGTATATTACGCGTATCCATGGGCGGCACCGATTGCTTACCATTAGGTAATGGGAAAGCTAGAATGCAGACTATTCATTAAAAAAAAAACAAGTATCAAACCAGAATTGTAAGTAGCCTAAAATTACAATTACAGAATATTAAAGTAAATATTTAATTACTAACAAAATCACGTAACTTTAAATATCAAACAATTAATAACATTTATTCACATTACTCAACTTCATATTTATGTAACCAATTCAACGAAAACGCTGCGCTAACTACATTTATTAATTAACCGTTAAAATATGACTGTAATTACGTTTCTGATTGTTAAAATAAATAGGATTGCGTGAAGAGATGGCTTAATTGTTCGGTAAAAATAATTATAGATATAATTTCGCAGTAAATAAAGTAATATCATAATTTATCAAGTACTTAAGGATTACTATCAACACATAAATAATAAAGATTTTATTAGATTACAGTAGGTACTAAAACAAAGAAATACTATTATACAGTGTAAATAATCGCGAGGCTTAATAAATTTATTAAACTTATCTAACTAAGATAAGCTCAACTAGTTTTATTTCCAAGTTTAAGAGCCTCGCTGTGTCTTGAAACTAATCGATTTTGTTAACTTCACGTGAGTCATTCATTATTTAAAAAGCTATTGTTTCATTGGTTTTGAGGTCATTAGGATGATTAATTTATATAAACCTTCAAACCTTCAAGAAACGAGCATATTCCTTCTTAAAAGGCCGGCAACGCACCTGTGACTCCTCTGGTGTTGCGGATGTCCATGGGCGGCGCCGATCGCTTTCCATCAGGTGATCCGTCTGCTCGTTTGCCACCTATTCCATAAAAAAAAATTTATATACATGTGAGTATGTATAATTTCATTGAAACATTGACACCAATTATATGTAATTCAGAAGTTCTTGAAACTATAGTAGATAAGCTTTTACAATATATTATGTCCACAATATTTCATATCAGTACAGACGTAAAATTAATTTGGCAGTCAGCACGCGAAGCCAGGAGAGAAGTTAGTAGCATCGAGTGTTTTGCACCCAGATCATAATTAAAGCTAGCCACAACAGTTGGTCTAAACTGTCGCCCACCCACAAACAGAATGCACGAACAGTTCAATGATATGCACGGATTTTATGTTAATAACGTAGAATTTTAATAATATATTTTACAAATGAGTATTTAGTTTGAAATTATAAATAACTTTTATTACCTTTTTTGATTATTGCTATAATTAGTCCAAGTAAAGATTTTAATACGAATTCTATCGTTTCAAATAGTTGGCATATTGACAGAGACTTTTTAAATCAAGCGAACTGAGAGTGTGTGTGACATTATAGTTTTTCCCGCGGTTTTTCCAACACTGTATTTATAAATTTAAAATCTTTCAATAAAATTATTTTTAAACTTTGTTTATTGGCTAAAAATGCATGCGACCTTATTACAAGTTCTTGAAATTTTCTTTAGCACACTTAGATGTGGCTTATATAAAAAAGTGCATTCACATTTTTTTTATTGGTATAAGTCGGCAAACGAGCAGACGGATTACCTGATGGTAAGCAATCGGCGCCGCCCATGGACACACGCAACACCAAAGGAGTTACGAGTGCGTTGCCGGCCTTTTGCCTTTTGCCTATCGGGAAGGGATAGGGCCTCCGGTAACCTCACTCACACGGCGAAACACAACGTTGTGGTTGTTTCACGGCGGTATTCTGTGAGGCCGTAGTATGACTCCGGTCGAGCCGACAAAAAAAAAACAGCTAGTCCGAGTTTTTTTTATCCCTTATTACAGACATGTTGTACTTTGAAATCAAAATAATCTATGATTTAAATTGAAAATAATGTTGTACAAGGAATTAACAATTATTATGTTTTTCTAACAAAACTACGTTTAGTCACGACGGCTAAAGAGAAGCCTGCTTCTTTATTAGGTCGGGTAACGTGCTATTAGATTTTCAAATAAAGTCTGAAATAATTTCTTGTGTATTAGGTGCACCTACCAATGAAACTAACAAGTAAACTAATCATAGATTGCCCAATCCCTTCCCCTCCCTCCAAGCCGTCCCCATCCTTAAATATCCGAAAACCTTATCCCCAAAAGGCCAACGCAGTCGTAATTCCTTTGGTGTTGCAGGCGTCTATGGGTGGCGCCGATTGCTTACCATCAGGGAATCAATGAATATGCTCGTTTGCCGAACTATCCCATAACAAAAAGGGGAGAAATAAGACAAAATTTTCAGTAAAATTTTATTTCAAATTAGATTCGTGTACTTCTTCACAGCCAGGGTACCGCGTCACACAGTCTATGTCTGCCACATGAGCCTTATCGTACTCCTTGTGTTCTTCCTTATTAAACTCTTGACCTTTTGGTAACCTGCAATCATAAAAACACCATGTTCGATCTCAAGTTGTTTAAAATATCTGTATATTTTGTAACTGGCAATTCGGATCAATTTAAGTTTGGGAGAGTCATGCTTCAGCACTAATGGGTCGGCTCGACCAGAGTGATACTACGGCCTCACAGAAAACCGCATGTGAAACAACCACAGCGTTGTGTTTCGCCGTGTAAATGAGGTTACCGGATGACTAATCCTTCCCCTCCCCCAATCCCACCCCAATCACTAAATCTCCAAATTCACCAAATCCCCAAAAGTTTGGCAACGCATTCGTAACTCTCCTGTTACGGGTGACCATGGGCGGTGCTGATTGCTTACACTCAGGTGATCCGTCTGCTCGTTAGCCGGTCTATTACATATAAAAAAAAATTAGAAATTGCAATGAGGTCGTTCTTAGGAATTGAACGTGAGATCTGTCACATTAGTGGTATATGAATAATATATGAATAATTTTAGGCTTTCATCACAATCCTCAAAGAAATCATACTCCAATTCAACACTACATCACACACAATCAGCCTATAAATGTCCACTTCTGATCAAAAGCCTCTTCTCATACGGAGAATGTTTAATCACCACGCTTGCTTAAGGCGGATTGGCGATTTCAAACTTATAATTTGAAATTATAAGCCCAGGTTTCCACACAATGTTTTCCTTCACCGTGTGTCTGTGTCGTCTAAGTCAACGCCAGCTCTCGTTAACTCCAATAAAAGCCAACGAACAAGCGTCTACTGAAAGAAGAATCCTTGGCAATACCAGTCGCGAATACAACATAAGTGAGAAAATCAATACTGACGTGAACACAGCCCTGAGGAATTCTTGCAAGAATGTCCCCTGCTCAGAAGCCCGTTGCGCCGCCTCGCATAGTTTATAAAGAACGCACTGACGCCCGTCTCGTCCCATCCTGCACAGATTACGTTGAGCTGTTTAGAAATGCTTTATTGTGGCGAGCATGCTACATGCTAAGCATCTAACCTTCGCTCGGGTGGTTTGCAAAAGTTTTGTGTTTAGTAACAGGGTGAGAAATTGAGATGAGGGGTTTTAAGTAGTAGGAATATTAAATGTGTGTAACAATGGTTATACATAAATTTTTGCTTCACCATATGCCACAAAGCTGGCATTAAAAAATGAATGAGACATAAAAAATAAAAGCATAAAGATTATCATTATTGTCTATTACATAAAACTAATCTTAAAACAGAAGAAAAAAGTTATCAAATCACCTGATAAAAATTACAACTCTTGAAAATAATCTAAATTACAATTTTTGTTTAAATACTTTTGCTTATTAATCGAAGGTACTTACGTAGTTAATAGTTTTTCAAACTTCTGGTACAGTTCCAGACGATTTTTCCGATGAAACTCCTTACTGTTCTTGTCCAAATTATGAATTTGCAAATGTCCAGTCTTAAAATGGTTTCTGTGCATCTTTTTTCTATTTATTTTCGGTTTCTCCTTAATTGACGATAACAAATGGTCGTCTATACTTCTTTTTCCTAAGACGGGAGTGATTATAAGCTTTCTGAAATAAATATCTATGATTAACTAAAACTCTACGTACAAAATTGTACGAACAAGTTGAACGCCTTAGTAAAAACCATGAAAATTCCCATTGCTGAGTGTCATTTTATGAATTTATTTTGGGATTTTCACTTTCTTCACCAACATGTTTTGATAGCATACTACATTTGTATAAATCCTGAACTACTAAATTAATAAATAATCGGTACAAAATAAAGGGATTTAAGGATTCTAATAATTATCAGGACAATAAACGTTCTTGGTCAACAATAATCCAAAATTTACTATATCTGAATATTTCCTGAACTCATAATTCTCAAGACAATAAATATTATTAGTTGATAATGGACCAAAAATTTAAAATGAATTTCGATCATACCTTTTATAAGGAACTTTAGCTATCAGCCGTCCATCTTCATCCAAATAGTTTACGGTCTTGACTACATCATTTCTTCGCAGTGGTCTCTCGTAGTCCTTCAAAGAGTGAAATATGTTAGGGTCCGTCGGCAGTAACCAAGCCAATCCAGCAGTTTCAGCGAACAGGAAAATATCACCAATCGGGATCAACGCCGCCGTTTGATAGAGAAATACTGGAAAAATAAAATATGTTCGTCATAAATATCCAATTTTTTTTTGACCGGGTGTTTCGTTAATTTATTTTATACGGAGACTTTCAGTCACTTTGATATTTAAAACACTAATAGAGAACTGCTTTAAATATATCGAATAAAATGTATCAGCCTACCCAGTTGGAATGAACTTCCATCCGGAAATATCAAAAACCTTTTCCTTCTTGATAACACTTTTGATTTTCCATAATTTTCCTGATATTCATCAATCGTATCGTTTTTATATTCCTTTAAATCCATAGCAATAGCTGTACGCAAAACTGAGCACAAAATTATAAAAAATAGACTATTCATGTTTAAAAAATAAAAATCGAAATTGAATTAAAAAAAACGTTAATTCAAAAAACTGCAACGCATGCTAGCCTCGCGTATTTGTTTGGAACTGGCGAGTCACGATATAGGAGCTAGTTGTAGTGACCTGTCATTTTGGAAATCGGACTTTGGAAGCAGCCATTTTTAAACAATGGAATTTTTCAATTAATAACACCGTGTTACTTCGTTTACGGTTATTTTCCGGATGTTAAAAGCTAGTGTTGGCTTAACTCTGAAAAGAAAGCAAATTAGATCTCGTTAGAGTGTCTGTGTTTAATATGTTTAAGCCGAGCAAAATTTTGGACTACTTTGCTGTTTTTATAGCATCGTACGATTTCAGGTAAGTATCATTTGACAAATAGAAATCATTCTCTCAAAAACTCATAAAAGGAATTTTAATAAAACAAATGAAAATCAAATTGACAATCCTCTTAATTTTTCGCATTCAGCTGGATCAGTGTGGCATTGCAACATCGTTCAACGTGCTCCACTTACGTTTTAGAACATGTTGCATCTACTTGTTGCGTCAGCTGTCACCTCGTGTTGCGCGCAACGTATCGTGAAGTAATTTCATGAAGGTATGTAATTATTTCATTAATTTTGTATAGAACTAAATCTCCCTTAAGTATATCTATATAACATTTCATTACGTGTCCGTATATCCGTGTACTTGCATTATATCTTCCCCTTCAGGAAGTAATAAAATTTATATTCCAATCTATCTTTGTTTTTGCCAATCATATAAAGAGAATAGCTTGGTCGTAAAGAATAAAGACAGATAGACAAAGTAACTTTTGCACGGTTAATATTTAAAATGGTTAATGATTTTTTTTTCATGCGAGTCTACACTTTAGAATCAACAAACGTTACTAATATCTAACTGATCGTAGCAGTTACAGTTTACAAATCAATATAAAAATAAAAAAAATATAAATAATCGTGCAATATTTGCAAAAAGGAAGCCAACCTCAATTCGCTTTTATTTCAATAGATATTGCGGAATTACGAGAAAACAGAGATTTATTTTATTCTGATGGGACAAGTCTGCCACAACCGGAGCACCCGGACACAGAAGTCCGCCGCACATCCCAGGGACATGAATGGCTGACTGACAAAAGACATTATAATCATTTGAGAAGAAAAAAACTAGTTTCCGCTTCCCTCGGTAAATTTGATGCAGGAGACAGAATGAGTTAAGCATGAAACCCTGTCATCAAATACCACGAGCTGCTATATTTGTTTCTAATAATAGGTATGGCAAAAACGCCTAAAATTATAGTGTCAGTCAAGTGAAGTGCAGGTTTCCTCACGATGTTTTCCTCTACCATAATTATGTCACTGGTGTCTAAATAATCTAAAAAAGTTTCCGGAACCCTTGTGCATGGGAAGGAGGCGCCAACCTCCAAGCTACCACGACGATAATTTGAATAACTACTGACTATATTTGAGTATTGTCTAGTGGAGAGTGTCAACATGCTGTCAAGCATTCTTATTCTCGGAATAATCTGAAAGTTGGTAAGTATGCATATTAACATAATTCGATATTAACATGTGTTCTAATATTTAATATAAACAAAAATCGAAAGCCAGCCTGTCGGTATTCTAGCCGGGGTTGCGGGGTAAGCGCAATGAGGCACTGCGACCTCGGCCCAGAGCAGGAGAAGGAACATGGGGGTTTTTAGTCAGTAAGAGTCTGACACTCCCTCCCGCCCCACAAAAAAAAAGCCTCTCGGTATTCTACAGGATATTTTGGAGAGTGTGCTCGGAAACCACACGATTTGATTCTACCATCGGACAACTCGGCGTAAAGCGGGTATCTATCCTTATATGGCAGAGACCTCATACACACATTTGGTGTAAGCGTTTCGCTTCGTCGTTTATACCGCGCACATCTAAGAATTGAAATAGCTTTCCTGCAACGGTCTTCCCGTTCAGTTATAATTTAGATGTCTTCAAGGCTATAGAGACCAAGATTTTCAGAATACTGAAAGGCGTAGTCACACGTTTCAGTTACTTACCATACCTGCATTTTGATAACGTGCGACTACGCCTTTCAGTATTCTGAAAATCTTGTTTTATACTTTTTCAGCGTCGGTTTTTGTCGTAATTAGGTTTTAGTTTTTATACTATTTATTATTCCAAGATTTTTTTTGTATGATAGGGCCATAAACTGGCCTTTGGATTACCATATAGATTAAGGTTTCGGAGATTTTGGATTAGGGGGATGGTGGAAGAAGAAATATTGAGCCTCTGGTATCTCACTCACACGGCGAAACACAACGCTGTGGTTATTTCACACTGGTTTTGCTGTAAACGCGTAGTATCACCCCAGACGAGCCTTTCTTATTGGTTCTGAAGCTTGGCTCTCTAACACTTAAAAGTAATATAAATAAGAACGGTATTCACAAAAAAACAAGGGGTCAAGGGTCCAATTCTATGTTCAGGTATTCCATTCATTACACATAATTTGAAATTACATAAAGTGTTAAATTAATAATATTTGTGTTCATAAATATACCTCATTTGTACACATGCTTTCCGCATCAAGGTGTAAGAAAGGTGTAATGTTTACGAATTTAATCTTCTAAATATATAAAACTCAAAGGTGACTGATATTAATAGTGATCTATCGCACAGCCTAAACCACTGGACGGATCGGCAACTTGGCATGCAGGTAGATGTTATGACGTAGGCATCCGCTAAAAAGGATTTTGATAAATTCTATCCCCAAGGGGATAAAAAAGGGGATGAAATGTTGTATGAAATTTTGTCCGTTTTAAACCGACCTTGCATGCATAAAGCTACCGCCGAACTAATAGCTAACGCCTACGTTATGCGTACCTATGTTATACGGGATGTCTACACGCTAAACAAAAGTAAAGCCGCAAAAACTGTACCTAATTAAAAGCTAGATGATTAATAATATAGTTCAATCCTCAAATTCTCTCTATGGTACGGATGGCGACAATGAGGTGATCTCAATTGCCGATACAAAAAAAAATGAAAGTCAACTCGCTTAGCGCCTCGTACTGGGTAAATTAAGTATATTTATAGCAACCAATGTAATTAATACTTCATAATTTAGCCTACAAGCGCCTATTGTTGATCGAAAGCCTCGTCTCACACGTGGGAGATTTATTTATCACCAAACATGATCAAGGTAGATTGGTGATTTCAAACTAATACTTAATTATAAATTTTAAGACTATGTTACTTCATGATGTTTTTCTTTGTCGTTTATCAGTGGTGTCTTAATATTCTTTGAAAGGAAATAACTTACAATTAGTCACATTTTATGCTTGCCAGGTTTCGCATGAGAGCCAAGATTAAACTCCGAGCCACCACTTTTGATAGGTACTTACTTATTTTTTCTTGTCTAATAAGCTGACTAGATGGAACTAGCACGTTAGGTTATTCATGAGAGCAATCCTTTTTTGTTTTAGAACTGCAAACAATCAGACGCATTACCTGATGGTAAGCAATCAGCATCGCCCATGGACACAACGCAATAACGGAGGAGTTACGAATGTGATGGCGACGTTTTGGGGATGAGGGATTAGAGGGGGAAGGATCGGGCTCCTGGTAACCTCAGTCACACGGCGAAACACAACTCAGCTGTGTCTTTTTAATTTTGTCCCTGTTTAAAACACAACAATACAAGCTTCAGCCGGGGTTGCGGGGTAAGCACAATGAGGCACCGTGACCTCGGCCCAGAGCAGGAGAAGGAACAGGGGGGTTTTAGTCAGTAAGAGTCTGACACTCCCTCCCACCCGGCCCTGGGCCGAAGAAATCATTTGATAATTTTCCCCTCACAAAAAAAAACGGTAAAAGCTTCATCAAAAACAAAAATTAGTTAATAGACATAGTTAATACTAGTTTGTAATCCAACTGGTTATATTTATTTTAAAATGAAATGAAAATTTTTATGTTTAAAATTATTTATTGATTTATTTATTTATATTGATATCGATTCATGCAAATCTTCACATCCAGGGTAGCGTACTGAGCAGTCATCAGTTTCTACGTGGGCCGTATCGTACGCTTTTAGGTCATCATACTGGATATCTTCTCCTTTGGGTAGCCTGCAACAATAATTAATCAAAATGAATAATAGTTAAAAAACTTTTTGTGACTCAGTGGGCCAATGACCAATTCAGGTCACAAAAGGGTGAGTGCTCAATGACGCTCATATAATTCAGTATTTCCATAGAAAATATAATCATATTATTACACGGCGATACGACAACAAGCATTACTTCACGCCTAATTTCTGAGGAGCCTTAGTATTACTACTGCACGTCGATTCTATAAAATTTGTTTGATTTTGAATCTTGTTCGAGTGCGAAGTGAGTGTCGAAGTGACGGGGTAATTAAATTTTAGAATGCCACTTTTAACGTCATCTCATACTTTATCTATCAAAATGTTGCTGTCAATTTAGTTCAACTCGCAAGTGTAGCGCTAGTGTACTACTACTCACGGCGGATTCAGATTCGAAGTTTAGAATGAAGTCTTACAGAATCACACTGCACCCAGTCGTACCGTATGGCCCTTCCATGTGTATAGTATTATTGTTCTACTACCTAATAAAAACAAAGCAATCCGATAGAGAAGAAACTGAAGTGCAAGTGCGAATGTCACGTTTGCCGAAGAACTAATGTCCATGAGGATTGACATGTTCTGAAGTGGGGAACATTTTTATGAAACTCATCATTTTGCATATTTTAATATCAAGAAGCATAATATATTTTTTAAACGTTAAGTAAAATATTGAAATCGCTTCTGTATAAAGTATTTTCTAAAGAATAACTATAGGCAAATGATTCTAGACTTACGTAAACACAGCCCTGAAGAACTCTTGGAGGAAAGTCCCCTGACTCGTAGGCCGCTTTGCCGCCTCACACAGTCTGTACAAAACACACTGACGTCCATCACGACCCGTCCTGCAAATACATTTTCTATAATTAATAAATAAGAAATATATTGAAGTAATATGTTTAGTAAAAAGGGAATACAATGATCGTGGAAGATTTTAAAGTGAGGGAAATAAGTGGCAAGAGAAGTAAGAAGTAGTTCGTGGCCCACATCTAAATTCACAACGCCAGAGACCTCCACGTGCATTGGCAGTCAGTAGTTCATAATGCCTATATACATAAATTTAATAGGCAGTTTTTATTCAAGGAAGGATAAGTGCAAAAATTTAGTATCGAACCAGAACTTGAGGTCCCTTGAGTTTTGGTAACATTTAGACACAACATCATTCATCATCAGCCTATAGACCATTGCTAAGCGCGAAGGTCCCTTATCGCAAGGGGGAGATTGAGTATTACCCGACACGCTTACTCATGCCAAATTAGCGAATTTAAATTTATCATTAGAAACTTGGACTTATTTCCTGCATCTATATTTCCTTAAACGATTGCCAGTGTTGTCACACCCTCATGCGTGAGAAGCCTTTAATGGGAAGCCTTAACCTTAAATCAAGTATTGCTAGACTACTTACGCCGATAACAATTTCTCTATTTTCTCATACAGATCTATGCGGTTACTTCTGTGGAATTCTATACTGTTTTTGTCTAAATGGGCCTTCAAATAATCTGATTTCAGATGCCTTTCATGCATCTTCTTCCGATCTATCTTCAATTTTAGTTTTTCTTTGAACGATAATGTTTCATCGTCCTCTATGCTTCTTTTCGCGAAAGCTGGATTCACTATGATTCTCCTGGAAAGAGTTGGTAACAAAATTAATGGAGTAACAAGAAAAAAGTAAAAAAACCTGACGGAAAAAAGTAAATAAAATGCATCATTTACAAGGAGAAAATCTTTTAAAAGGAATGGACGATATGCTGTTGAATGATATGCTTTCTGAATATTTTTATTCCTTAAAGATTAAAAGAAATAAATAGGCAGGTCAAATAAAAAAATATATCCGTATTTCTGCACCATCTCTTCTGAAGAAAGGAAGTTTTAATCCGTCAAATTCAAAGTCAAAATGATTTACTTCAAATAGACACAATAGAAAATTGTGTAAAGTCATTTGGAACGTTTCCAAATGATTAAATATTATCATAATTATTTTATCATATAATTGTGTTTATATTATTATTTATATTATCATATAATTGTGTTTAAGAATGACTTTAACATAAGAGTGAATTAAAAAGAAAAATTCCAAACACATACTTTTTATAAGGAACTTTAGCAATCAGATGTCCATCTTCATCCAAGTAGTTGATAGTTTTGACCACATCATTTTTTCTCAAAGGCCTCTCGTATTCCTTCAAATTGGTGAATATTGTGGGGTCGTTAGGTAAGTTCCAAGCGAGACCCAGGGTGCTGCCGAAGAGGAAAATATCACCGATGGGGATCAGCGCCATGGTTTGACAGCAAAATACTGAAATCAGAAATATGTTCATAAGTATTTTATGAGTATTTTATGAGATAAATCGATAAATCAAGCCTGGTCATAAAATCCATTAAAATCTTCAAATTCAAGCCCTTCATCATCATCATCATCAGTCTATAAGTGCCTACTGCTGAGCAAAGGCCTCTTCTCATACGGAGAAGGTTAGAGCATTAATCCTCATTTTCCACGCCCTTATCTCCCAATAATTACCTATGCATATCTGCTATGTAGTGATGCCTTCTTTTTTTTCTGCTACCGAGGCAGGGGAAAAAAAGAAGAAGAAAAACAAGTGCACGATTGTATTTATTATTGAAACATCGGCTTGCAGGACTTTCGTAAAGAGCTAGAGTTTGCACTACTATGTAAACAAGCTCTAACTAAGCGTTTGCTTCAACTTAATACACGGATTAAACTGTAACTATCCATTTCTGTGGAATAGTTACCAATTTGAACGTGGAATTTATTGGTAAATTCAATTATAATATCAAACATCAAATTATGATTCGTCTTTATTCGTTTATTCGTCTTTAGTCTTTCTTCGAACACAAATAAAACGAGGTAAATAACTTTATTAACAATGTTTCTAACGGACATGTTCAATTAAGAATAATTAACAGTCTTGACATTTAGTTCAAGAATGTCAAATAAACTTTAGGACCACAGAAGTATTTCATTCATTAGCATAAACTTGAATAACACACACATGCATATATGCTCATTGAAGGAATGTGGTTCTTGTTGCACTTTTGAAATGAATAAATTAGTTTTATAATCCCTTACAGTTCAAATGCTAAGCACACATAAGTATTCACCTACCCAGTTGCAGAGAGCTTCCATCTGGAAATATTACGAATCTCTTTCGTCTCGACAACGCTCTTGATCCTTCATTTTCCTCGTGGAATTCATTTGCCGTATTATTTCCATTGTCCCTTACATTTTCACTAATTACTGTCTGTAAAACTAGGAACGTTACGAAATATGAAAAGATACTATTCATATTTGGAACAATAACGAACAGTTATTCAAAAATTTATTTCGAAATAGGAACGCAACCTGTTCCTAACGGATTTTATTTAGAACTGGCCACATGGACGTCGAACTTGGAAGATTCTAAATATGATTTTCAAAACACTATTCAGAGTTGCCCGTTGTAAATCATAAAATGTACTGTAATGATTTTGAAATATTGAAACCCTACAAATAAAACTGTCTATTAACACTGTGTGAATTCATTTACTGTTATATTCGTGCGACAATTTAAACTGTTAAAAACATAAAATGTTTACTTAGAAACAAAGAACAATGTAGGCCTACTTAAAGTGGTTTGAATTTTATTGTTCTTCGCGGTAATTGATTGAGATGAAGGTAAAAATAATAAATAAAACAAAACGCATATTAATATTTTATTAAACTTACAATATTCATCAAAAGCATTGAATTTTATTTGTAATGAGGTAAAATATGAGGTTTAAAATAAAATTAAAGACTTATTTTTAATAAAAATAGAACATAGCTACCACCTTAAAATATAGAATAGGTAAGCCGATCGTCAATGCCAAATCGACGAAAAGCTTACCGACAGAATTGTAATTTTCACTCTAGTAAAAAAATAAACTGTTCAAATCCCTTATTGTTATATATTGTCAACAACAACTTTGTAACTAGTAAAATTCTTAATTTTAAATTTATCTTCAACTAGAAAACCGCCTTACCATCGCATGAGTGCAATGCTAAAACTATATTTGTCTGCAATTTAATCGATGTTATTATACATATAAACCTTCTTTTTTAGTCACTCTATTTTTTTAAAAGTCGTATCAAAATCCGTAGTTTAGTTTTAAAGGTTTAAGCATACATAGGTATAGAGGGACAGAGAAAGTAGTTGTTGACATTTTGTTTTATACTTTGTCTAGATTCTTAAAATAACGTTACTATTTTCATCATAAAATTAATTCTACATAAGAACCTACCACATAATTCTATTATACTCTTAATTGGTCTGCAAAAACTGCATCAAAGTTCTACAATTAGTCCTTTAAAACTCGAAAACATTAAGATTGACATACGTTTATTATCAGACAAACCAAAAATAGCCTGTGAAGTGTTCACAAAATAAATAAGTACAGCCACTCCTAATGCAAAACTTCTATTTAAGTGAAACCCTTAAAAATTGACAAAGTCAACTATTCTGATCCCTAAAAATGGAAACACAAGATTCCACTTTATATATAAACTGCAAACAGTAATCGTCCAGCCTTAGTTGAGCTTTCAGACACAGTCTGAATTTCAACCAGGGAGGTCAATGACAGACATGCGACAATTGCCTTACTTTTTATAACTGCATTATTTTATTCTTATATTTTTATAAGTAAGTACCTACATTTGAAATGCGCGGATTTTTGTTGGTATTTCTTATTATGTTTTAACTATATTGTTTCACATACAATTGCTCGTAAGCAACTATCAAGATTGTTATATTGCCTTAATAAACATCAAGGCAAGATAATAATCTTAGCTATAATTTACTTAATCATACTTAGCGTCCAAACATATTTAGACTTCTATTGTCATACAGTAAAAGGAAACATCGTGAGGAATCCCTCACTTATTATTTTGAATTATAAATTTGAAATGGCCAATCCGACTTGAGCTAGCGTGTTTATTATAGTCCAATTATTATTTTAAGGTCCGAATCTTCTCCGTGAGAGAAGGGACTTTGAGACAGCAGTTGGCAATGATAGGTTGATTATGATGCTAAAGTGCTCAAGTAGATTAGATTAAAGTCCAAGTAGATTTGACGCATTAAAAAATAAAATTATTTTCTTATTTTATATCCATGTGGGGTATCAGATCGATCATTTCCCAGGATATAATGATCTACAAAAACGTGTCCCGTCTACAGGTTTCAATAAGAAAATCTAGGCGAGTCTGGTTCGAGTGAAGGGTCATCACATTCTGGATACAGTTCATCACAGGAACCCGTTGCTGAGAGAGCTGCGTCGTATGCCGCGTGTTTGTCTTGAACACCCACAGAATTTTTGGGTAAACTGAAAAATGTAATAAAAACTTTTTAACCTTTTTATTTTTAGGGAAAGCCTAATTTTTTGAACGATTTGTTATGTATACACTGTATGCACTTTAAGCATGTCATTGTGTGAGAGACCACCCAGCGCAATATTTGTCATCCCGTGAGACAGCGGGCAGTACTAATTAATAATCCGATCTAACCAGTCGTTTTCCTCATCTTATCCAGTGTAACTCTCATGCAGTGACATTTATCAGTGACGTTTTATGTAATCATTTGTGATTTAATGCAAAAAATCTAATATACCTACTTAATATTTGGAAATTGGACCTTTTATTCCGAATCACCTAATTCTATAACAGATTGAAGAGGAAGTCAATGTCAAAATCATTTTAATCCAACTAAACCATAAATAAGTAATTATGATACGTCAAAATAGATTAGTTAGTAGTCTGTCAGAATGTCCGTCAATGAAGCTAGGTGCTCCTTCCAAATTGTAGATTCAAATGGAGAAGAATGAGCAAGAAACTCCGTCGTAACTGTTTTAAAAAAAAAATATTTTGAACACAAGATGCATATAATTTTAGCAGTTATGAATTGTAGTTTGTTATACAGAGTAAAATACATCAGTTAACTAACTCCTCTCGCGGATTTCCTGTCGTAAAATTGATTTATAGATTTTATTTTATTATAATACTTTATGTAATAGATACAAATTATAATACTTTATGTGAACTTGATGCTGAAAACCTTCCTCTTTCTCTTCCAGTGAAGACCAGACATAACTTTTATACGGACTAGTCTTAAATAAAATGATAAAAACTCGTGAAATGTATACATTTTTTCGGGTATAAATTTAAATTAGGCATGCATTAATATAAATCAATAAATACGCTTTGCTTTATTCAAAAACAGAGAACCTTTTCCAAACAACGTCCATATCAAATATCTCCCTTCGAAATCCGGCCACTCTCAACAGTAGCCCTATAATTATATTCTTAATTATTCAATTTCAAATTAATTACTTGAGGCTTACTTTTGCGGTCTTCTATATCGAATAATTTGATTTTTGTAACTTCGAATTATGATCATGATGTTCTGGTACTGTAATTTTTGTTAAGAAAAAATCTAAAAGTTTTTAAAGACCTCGTATGTTAGCAATAATAGTTCTTAGATACCTAGTAGTTTAAGATACCAAGGTATGAACAAAACAGGATTTAATAATCACTCATGTGTTACATCACAAGATGAAATGTACAAAAATACATAAAAAAACTTCGAATTCTTAATACAATCTTATTGAAAGACTTGAATAGCCTAAAGACAAGAATTCCTGAGCAATATTTGTCCAGTACTTACGTGAAAACCGCTCTCATTATTTCTTGGAAGAACATGCCTTGAGGATGATCCTTCGTTTGACCGACCAGGCATAAAGATTTCAGCACACAGTGCTTCCCGTTCACGCCAAGACTGAAAAGGTTGATATGGACGTTAGTTGCTTTGTACTCTATATAGAAGGTATCTATAATGCCATTGTTAATACAAAACAAAACATTACATAAATCTAAAAAATAACACAAAATCATAAAAAGGCAATCCAATAACCAAAATGGATTCACATAACTCAATGTAGGAGATAATACCGACCCGTGAAGCATCGTCTCTATTTTCTGGTAAAGTGAGGTACGGCTGCTTCTGTGAAATTCAACGCTCTGCTGCATCATGCGTTCGTTCAAATATGTCCGTTTGTTTTCCAAAGCATGCATCTGTTTCCTGTCTATTTTCGATTTCTCGAAAGTTCCTTTTTTGTCCAGTTGGTCGACGCTGCGTTTTGCGAAAGCAGGATTCACTATGGGTTTTCTGAAAGTTGTTCATGCAAAGTTTAGTTGTAATTTCGTACAGTTTGTAGCTCTGGCTGTCTATCTAGCTAGTTTTTGTTTGTAGCTTAAATTCCAAGGTTTTTATTTTTGTATGTAAATAATACGATAAAAAAAATATGATGATGTAATTAGTTAAACAAATGAGTCCAGGATTTATCTGTCTTCTCTCTGTTTGTAAGTTAAAATCATTTTAATTAATCTACCAATATTAGTTCTTAGGAAGTTAGACTTTCTACCTACAAAGTGACATTAATTATTTGTCTAAGTTACTTGTTAGGCTAACCATAGCCTGTCAGAAGTTAGCTCATAATATGTTCCAAGTCTGTTCAGCTTTCATTTTAAAACTTACGTTCACACTAGTATTGTTTGAGTGTACCTTGAAGTGTTGGAAGGATTAATTATTTTACCCTTAGTTTTAACAAAATTCTTACCTATGATATGGCTTCTTGTCAATAATCTTTCCATCTTCATTAGTATAGTATATTACTTTGGTGTCAACTCTTCGATGGAGTGGATCAGCTTTGTGGTTGAAAGGCGAATATGGGTCTTGAGGTAGCTCCCAAGCCAACGCAGCTGTTGACCCGTACAGAAAGATGTCTCCAATTCTAAAGATCATTGCGTACGTTGTGCAGAATACTGAAAATTTATTTGGAAAAAGTATAGTTATTACGAATAAGTTGATTGTTTTTGGATGTAGATGATGAAAAATATGCTGTTATGGTATTATATTACAAACTCCAGTAGATCAAACTATTTCATAGTAAAAATTCAATTAGAGAAATTAAACAGAATTTAACTAGGTTGATGTTCTAGCGTCTGTTCTATTTATCTATTAAACCAACATAGATACAACTGAGGTACTTCAAGGAATTCTGTAAATCCATTATTGTATTAAGGACCGGTATATTTAACGATGCAAAGTTCCCGCTAAAGTTACACTGTAACACTAACAGAATCTCATTCAGAGAAATTAGTTAGCAGACAAACCTAGTTCGCGTTTTCAAAGTACTGCAAACATTTCCTAATTTAGACGAGAATTTACTTTATAAATGATGCGGCAGATTCTGGTATAACAACGTTCTCCGTGTTTTGAGGAACACTTTACGTCACTGGTCCATTTGTTAGGAGCTCTGTGCAATTGCTCGCTTGAAATCGTGGACCACATGGCATATAATATGCTGTTTAGATATTTCTAGCTTCTTAGATTTGAGCGGACGGGGGAATTAAAAATGTCTGACGGTAAATAGCTTTTGGAAACTTGTTCTTAAATGGATTATTATAATTATAAGCTTGTTAAAATGGCTCGCATATATGTAAAGCCGCCTTTTTTACAATTGATTGGCATTTCAAACACTTTTCATACTTTTTCATTTAGAAAAAGTATGAAAAGTGTTTATGAATAAAAATAAAACTATTGTTTTTTTCTTACCACATCAACCATTTTTTTAGGTACACGACATGTAAAATAATGAAAACAATACTCATAATCTTGTTACTCACCCAATTGTAAAGAACTACCTTCAGGAAATATAATGAACCTTTTTCTTCTAGACAAAATTTCACTTTTCTTCTCTACCTCTATTTCTTCTGTATCATTCACTTGCAGTTGAGCTGCAGTTTTCATTAATAAATTTCCTCCCATAAACACTACGAGTATCCATATTGATTTGTTTATCAAATTCATTTTAATTTTCACTTTTTTTAATTACTTCTTTACTATCCTCTTATGAACAGTCACTTCTTTTTGGTCTTTCTTCTTATACACGTTAATCGGATTCTTTAGCAGACTCAACGTTATTTTCTAAATCTTTTTCGAAATGGAAGCAAAGTATCACATTCGATTCTAAGCTAACAGTGTTAGGATTATCCGGAGGTAATGTACCGTTTATCACGACTGACAAATAAGCTAAAACCGTTAACCACTCCTATACAGGATGATTATTTTTCATTAGAGACGAAAATGTAATCAGTTATAATGTGCTTCAAATTTTAATTAATTTCAATGAGTGATATTATAACATAGATGTTTTTCGATTGTAAACTAATAATAATTACAAAATTAACTGATTTGACTTTTTCGCTAGGTTTTATTTAGAACATTTTTGTGCTACATTTTATGCACTTTTCCAACAAATATTTTAAGCCAATGAAAAGCCTAATAGAAAAAATGTCAAATAAAAATCAATTCTATTTAGTTTTGACACACCATTTATACAATGTCACCATGACTTACCAAAAATTGTAGGTCGGGTCAGCGGATATCGATCTATAAAGAAAAAATCAAATAAAACCTACTTTCATGAAATGGTTTAGTTCGTTATATCTAACCGGCCTATCGCATGGGGTTTTAATACCTTTCAAATTCGGATAGTATACATTCATGATAAAAATATATAGGTACTGCACATGTTTCAGTTTGATTAGACATTATTGTGATTTTGTTGAAAATAATTACACAGCTTATAATATTCAACGAATTGTTGTAATTGAGTTATATACAAATCAGATTTAAAAGTATATTTTTAAAGTTATTAATACCTAATCTGAATCAGTACTAAGTGCATTTGTTAAGAGCCAATTATTTGGGTGAGTATTCAAATGTCATATCTTTATTTTAAGGCGAAGAATGTTAGCACCCGAAACAAAAAATTTAATGTAATTCATTTTCCGAGTTTTCGAATTGTGTCCTCAATATTTTTCCTGGTATCGAACTTTCTGTAACCGATACAAAGTCACGAGGTTGATCCGAATTCATCTGAATACCGTTTTACTAAACTCACTTATTCTTGTCTCCAATTGGATTTGACATACTTCGTAAAAAAGTATGTAGATAATAATAATAATATTATTGCTTTTAATAGATTAAATCATGCTATTGTTAAGGCACTTTACATTTATATATACTAACTTATATTCATCAAAGAACGCTTTGTTTAATTCTTTTATTTTTAACTTCCTTTTTTGTCGTATGTGGTGTAATTTCAAACCTGTTTCACTTTAATTTTGTATTTTCATTTACATTTTTAGACCCAGAATTCACGATTCAAAATGGCACAGAAGTAACTTTGATACCTACGCAGGTACTTTTTATAAGGACTCTAGAAATTTCCAGATTAAACAGAAATATGAATAAATTCATACCAGTATTATTACTTTGCTACATATGTGTGGTAGCATTTATTGTAATTGACGTAAGTGAAGCTAATGACACAAAGGTTCTACACAGAAACAGGAGATACCTTTCCTTCTTAAATATGACGCGTTTCTATGTAAGTATAGTAATAGAATTATTATTTTGGTTATACGCTAAGTGTAAATTAAGTAGGATTAAAGTTTATGATTGGTGGGTTATGCTACTGTCAGTGGTGTTTTGTTGTTGGAATTGTGTTTAAATACAGAACTGATACAAGACAAATATTAAAATTTCTTTCACTTAAAGATATGAGAGAATCTCGCTGCAAAAACCCTCATACCACTTATGATATTAATTGTCTTATTATAGGAGTTGACCTATACAAATCAAATCGTTTTATATTGGTTAAAAATATGTAAGTAGTACATAATGACAAGAATATTAAATTATTACCTAACATTTAATGATATTTTTAATAGATCTCTTTGTTCTACCTAAAAAGCAAAACTATTACTAACAAATATTATATATGTAGATACAGATAATTTTTTCTTATTTTGTAACCTTACTCGTACCTAATATTCGAAAATCAGAACTTCCAGTAAGTAATGCAATATATAATTCGAGCTCCAACAAGGACAGGAATATACATAGGATTCACCCAGCTTAACTCCAACACTGTTCAAAATATACAATAAAATTTACTAACATGTCTGTCCTTGTATTTCCAGCTTAAATTTAACTTCAAAGCGAACATAGTTCCATGGAACCAGCTGTTCGCACAAGCTATAGGGTTCCGTATGAACTGGAACGGACCTCCGTCTAATTTTCGCCCATTTCATCGGATATACCGGAGAGATATCTACGATTATGTTGAAATGCTGTTAGATAAGTAAGGAGTTTTTATTTATTTAACTTGCTGACCCGGCAAACGAAGTTTTACCATTAAAATTATTTCGAAAAAAAAAGATGCTCAATCCTTAACATTTTGGTTTGAAAAATAGCCAGCAGCCGATTCTCAGAATATATGAAATTAGGTAAAAATCAGTAAAGCTGTTTCGAAGTAATGTAACTTACATGGTGACATTTAACAAATAAGATTACCTAATCATAAGATTTATGAGATTGGAATCGAAGGTAATAAGGAATTAAAAGTAAAAATTGTTATCCATTACTTACTTTTTAACCGACTATATCTTCCATTATGTTATCGATACGACCCTCAAACCTTCAATAAACGAGCATTTTTCTTCTTAAAGTCCTAGCAACGCGCCTGTGTTTTGTCTGTATTAGGGTTAATGGACGGCGCTGATCACTTACTACCATTATCATACTACGATTAGTCTGCTAGGTTGCTTACTTTACTATAAAAAAAAAACGTGTGAAGTTGTAAGTTGTAAGTGTGGGAGTACCATACTTTGGGCATACTTTACATACTTTGGGCACAAATGTGCCGACTGTACCTGTAACCTCACAAAACACCAGTGTGAGACAACCATAGCGTTGTCTTTCGCTTTCACAGTGTGATTGAGTTTACTGGAGGCCCAATCGTTCCCCTTCCTCCATCCCTTTTCGATCTCTTAAATCGTAAAACTCTCTTTATCACCAAAAGCCAGGTCTTCTAGCAACTCATCAGTTATTTTCGCTGTATTACATGAAAAGACATCATTCTAGAACTATTTCATGAGTTCAATATATTTTTACAGTCTTTTTGATATTCAGAAAATGAATTAAAATTCATAACATCAAAACACAAGTCTTTAGTAATATGCAAACAAAACTTTTGCTTTCAGAAACGGGCTGGATGGGCTGCATTGCGTTCGACGCGCCATCTGTGAGATGCAAACGATCGCGGAACCAAACATGATTTATCACAAACTTCTTAAAATGGTTTTTAGGTAATATATTTTATCAATAATACTTCTTTAGTTCCCTACATAATTATATGTATAAGTGTTTTCTTTTTTAATTGTGTAGAAATCCTTTTCTATAATCGTCATACAAGTTCTGCTCAGTCAATTTCAAAGCCAGCTAATCATACACCCTCATCAAAATCTCCTAATCCCCTAAACCCCAAATCTCTAACCCCCAAAAGTTGGCAAAGCACTTTCAACTCCTATAGCGTTATGGTAGGGTTTCTATTTGTGAGGGGAAAATCATTAAATGACTTCTCCCGCCCAGGGCCGGGCGGGAGGGAGTGTCAGACTCTTACTGACTAAAAACCCCCCTGTTCCTTCTCCTGCTCTGGGCCGAGGTCGCGGTGCCTCATTGCGCTTACCCCGCAACCCCGGCTAGCGTTATGGTAGGGTAGCAGCCCATTCATTAGCCATCTTATACCATAAAAATGTTGCTAAGTATTCGAACTTTAAGAAATAATGTTTTTAATTTCAGAAAAATATCACCAACAACAGAACGTTGGCATAATGTCACCACCGAAGACTGCACCACCTCGATCACTGCCTGCCCACTATCGCTGCTACAAGTGTCTCCTTATACTGATATCATGTGATAAACTTGCTCCTTAAAGATAACGTATTTGTTAAAGCTTTTAAAAATACATTTATTGTTATTAAAAAACCTACATCGTTTTATTAAATTGCAACCTAACGTGAATGTAGTGGTGGCCCGGAGGTTTAGGAGCCCACTTCTCATGCTTTAGGGTGTGGGTTCGAAACCTAGCAAGTACCAATGTGACTTTTTCCGAGTTTTACTTAAATACTTTTTACGATTATTTAGACACCACTGACATACGGTGAAGGTAAACACCGTGAGGAAACCTGGACCTGTAATTTCTAATTATAAGTTTGAACTCGCATTGAGCAAGCGTGGTGATTAATGCTCTAACCTTCCCAGTATGAGAAGAGGCCTCTACTCAGCACTGATAGGCTGATGATGATGATGAACCTAACGTGACAGTAGAAATACTATGGTAGGACTTTGAAGAGTTAATTATTGTAAACATAATTATTTTTATGAGACGGATTATCTGATGGTAAGCAATCAACGCCACTCATGAACACCTGCTACAGTACAGGAGTTGAAACTTCATTGCCGGCCTTAGGCCGCCAGAGAGAGAGCGAGGATTCAAGATTAGGTAGGCTTGGAGATAACTGTCACGGTAAACACAACGCTGGAGTTGTATCAGGATGGTGTTTGTTGAGCAGCACTCTGCCCCTTTTCGCGCCGAATTTCAATACATTTCATATAAGATTTATATATTTTATAATAGGCATATTATCGTTTTTGTTTGCAATTCGGAGAAATCTTCGTCACGTTACTTATATGACTTTCAATTTTTAAACAGAATTAAAAAATAAAATGTGTATTTAAAAAGTCATATTTTCATCAAGAACCGTAACCTTACGGAACCGTACCCTAACATGTCTGTCAATTCGCGCATTCTTTGATACTCTGTAAAACACAGCGAGGCAACCCATATTCCATAAACTAGTTTATGTTATCCAAACACAATAATTGTTGATAAACAATACATCAAATACGACCTCTTTACATAGAAGGTTGGTTATTCATACGAAATTTTCTCGCTTTTATTATTCTTTATGTTACTCTCCTTAGTAGTGTGTGTGCGAAAAAGATATTGTTAAAAAAAAGTTTTAAGATGTGACGGAATTTTGAAATAGACTGAGAAATTTTGTGTGATTATGAACCTTATGACAATAGACTTACATATCAATGTGTGAACTAATTGCTATTCAATGCAGATAAAAAATAAACACAATAAAACTTATATGAAAAATAGGATTCCAAATTTTTAAAATTAGAACGTAAGAATGCATAAATGATGACAATGAAGTAATTTTTACTGTTGCCGCCATTGTTGAAGTGGGTTTCAAAATTTAAATTTAAAAATAGATTTTTATTTTTAATTTGTATAATTAGTAATACAAAATGTATAGGAGCGTGCAAGTGTGTGTGTTATGTTACGTTTGTTTTGTAGTGTTTATTCTTATAGATTTAAGTAAAGCTAATGACTCGGGCCATCACCGACATAGAAGATATCTCAACTTCAAGAATATGACACATTTCTTTGTGAGTATATATATATTTTTTAAAAAACGTTGCTCCACACTATGATTTTCTCCTGTGTCGTGGGTGCGTTTACAAACATACAATTCCACATACACATCACAACCAGACCCGGAACAACAATTTGTGGATCACACAAAGAGTTGTTCCGTGCGGGAATCGAACCCATGACACGTTACGCGGCAGCCAGTTACCCAGCCACCGCGCCAACCATGCAGTCAGACAGTACAGTCATATTATTTTGTGTATACCTATTTATACCACTATTCGAATTCTCAAGATTGTCAATAGGTAACCATCACAGAGTCGTCAATAGTACATATCCAATAGTTAATAACATATATAAATCTAATGAAAACGTGAATGTAAGACCACAAGAACGAGCTTTTATGTAACAGTTACTAGTGTCAGTCAAAAATGAATAATTTTGACTTTTAAATGAAATAAAATTAAAAAAAATACACTTTCATTTTATGATATCTATACAATTTGCATAAAAAGAAAATATTTAATTGAAATGTTCCAAAACCTATAGACTCATTAAAAAAAATCTTTCACTGTTGGGTAGCCACACTATCCTTGGCGTGAACATAGGCTATGAACTATGCAGGCAAAACCGCGGGGCATAGATAGTGCTTAGTAATATTTTTCTACCCAATTTTTAAGAAAATGTACCTTGACCTACCTGTTAAAATCATGGCGTCACAACATACGATTTCGTATAAAATTCATATAAAACGTATGAAATTTGACTAATTTGGAGAGCTTTTGTAAATTAAAAGCTAATAATAATATTGTTTTGCGAATTTCAGCTCCGTTTTAACTTCAAAGTGAATATGGTGCCTTGGACTCAAATATTCGCTCAGGCTCTTGGGTTCCGTATGAACTGGGATACACCGCCTGACACGTTCCATCCATACAGGAATCATTTTATACATAGACGTACTGTTTATAGTCACACAGAGGAGTTATTAGATAAGTAAGTTTATATTTATTTTCTTTAAAAGTGTATTCTTTGAATTGATATTGGATATTGTTCCAAATTTTAAATATAAAAATTCACTTCCCTACTAATTTTATAAGGGTATAATTTTTTTTTACCAAATTATAAAATAAAAACTATACCTATAGTCTGTGTCCCTCAAAGAGGGTCCTCAAGGCCTAATAAATAGGTTGGTTACGGCATGCTTCATCGTAGGCTCTAAATATCGTATGCCAGCAGGCAAAATACAAACAATAAAAAATTATTCGTAGAATATTTCAAGGCTCTTTAAGTAGTAGTTCACATTGTCTATAAAAAAATTGCCCGAAGGCTAATCGGTTCTTCACGTAACCGCTGGTTTGATAGCTATTTCGAGCAAAAAGTTAAGATTTCCATATAAGCTAGCAAATAATATTTTTTCCTCTAAATCACATTCCATCGTGATTTTTTGTATTGGTTTTCTTTTTATTTTAAGTTTACGTATACATAATGTATAAAAGTATGTTTGATATTTAGTATACTAGATTATATATTCTATAAAACCATATATCTCGCTAAAGAAACAAAGTTTGCCAACAGTTTGTAAGCAGTTAAAAGGGCAATACCCAAAAAATATATATCCCACATAAATAAATTCATGAACTACCATAAAAATTCACCAAAAATAAATTGATTGCCGTAGGAACGGCCTGAATGGATTCCACTGCGTTCGGCGAGCCATTTGCGAAATGGAAATGATAGCAGAGCCACGAAAAATGTACCACAAACTTTTAAAAATGGTTTTCAGGTAATATGAAATGTTTTTTTAATTAAATTATGACCTTAGATGACCTCTGTTGAAGCGTTTAAATGAAATTACGAGCAAATTTTACGGCAAAATGGACCTCCACGTTCGATGATTACGTGGGTCCCGTCTGTTCGAAACAAAAGTTTAAGCTCCACTGACAAAATATTTTTTGGTAATTATGTTAGGAATTATTAAAAGTAATTTCTATTAGAAATATTCGATGTAAAAGTATTTGTGAATTTAGAGTACCTGCATTTTTTCAGTTTAAAAATGCAACTTTTATCGGTTAAGTTTTTCTTATAAAATATCTGTATTTTATTTTTATAGAAATGACTATATAGTCGTACAAACTTTCTATTATAAGATTTATTATACCCAAGTTATACATATAGGTAAAGGTCTTTATAGATACTATATGACGAATATACATGGCTTCACATCGAGTGTTACCTTTGCCATATAGAGAACTGGCGTGATATCACGCTTGTTTTGTATTTCGCAGTATGAAGTTACTGAAAGTCTAATTCTCTCCATAAATCCCTTACTTCCAAACTGCCAGCAATGCCTGAACTTCCTCTAGTGTTGCGTTGTATAAGGACAGCACTGGTTGCTTACCATCAGGTGATCCGTCCAGTTGTTTGCGAACCAATCTCTCATGTTAAAAAAACAATGGCATCATCTAGCCCAGCACCAGATTTTACTTACGTATCGATGTATGTTTGATATTCTTTCACGCCAAAACGGCTGGACGGGTTTGGTTGAATTTTGGGTTATAGCCTGGATACAATTTAACACATATGCTTTTTATCGTGGGCGAAGTCGTGGTTAGAAGCTAGTGATCACATAACTCGGCTGCATAAAACAAACTACGACTATCACTAGGTGTTCGGTTCCGTTTTTAATTATAGAATGATGTTTTATTTCATAGAAATCAATTCTTAATTAATTATTATGTTTTCGGCTTACTCGCGTAATAATTTGACAAGATACTCGACTAGTTTCAAGCCATGCTAGAGGCCAATATTCATGAGCAGCATTCCGCGACACGCGACGCGGCGACTGTCGCGCTGCTACTCCCAGTACTACTGATAATTATTAATTTAGAAGGTCTCACGAAAGTTGTCATAAAAAAAAACAATTCTTCTTAAATTGTATTTCGTCTTCTTTCAGGCAGCAATCATCGGACACGGATAGATGGCACAATAAAACGGCAGAAGATTGTAAAGTATCGCAGTTATCCTGCCCGTTCTCATTCCTAGACGTTTCATTGTACACCGATACTGTTTAAATAAAGTTATTTAATGTAAACTAGTTTAATCATTATTATGTTTTCCCTTTAGTGAAATAGGTCAGGAAATTAGCAAACGGATTACCTGTTGGTAAGCAATCGGCGCCGTCCATGGGCACATGTAATACCAAACGCTACAAGTACGTAGCCGGCCTCTTGTGGGATTTGGGGTTTAAGAATGGGGGGATAGATTACCTAGGCCTCCGCTCTCCGTCATATGGCGAAAACTAACATTTGCTGTTTCACGCCGGTAATCTGTGAGGCCGTATCAACATGTGTAGCACTATACTGCACTTCAATAAGAGCCTTTTTTGAAACCAGTCAAATTGATCATCAAACACACAAATTAATTCATTCGTGTGAATATAGGACGGTATACGAGACAGTTCACCTGATGGTAAGCAATCGACGCCACGCATAGACACCCGCAACACTGGAGGAGTTATGAGTGTGTTGCCAAGCTTTTCAGGGATTAGGGTTTTGAAGATTTAGGAATTCGGGGAGAGGAAAAAGGATTGGGCCTCCGGTAACCTCACTCACACGACGAAACACAAAATTGTAGTTGCTTCATGCTGGTTTTCTACGAGGTCCTTTTATCAATCCGGCCCACACGAACCGTTCGTGTCGCAGCATAGCTCTACGACACTTAAGTATAAAGTTGTAGGTATTATATATTTTTATATGTACAAATTTTTTATATATAAACAAAAACTGCCTACAAACGGCTATACAATTACGTCATTTAGCTCTTACAAGATGTTCCCGTATATCAGCTGCGTAAGATACAGATAAATCATCAGATTGTAAGTTCCCACGGCTAAGTAAAGGCCACTTCTCACATGGAGAAGGTTCGAGAGGAAAGAAAGGTAAATACACTTAGAATCATTCCTATAACGTCACCACATAGCGTTTATAACTCTTTCATTACCTTTTTGAATTGAGACAGTTATAATGGCACATAACAAAAAAAAAAACACTTTCTTAAATATATTTCTTGAAATTTTCAAGTAGGTACTCAATTATCAATCACGACGATTCTATCTCTTTCCATCCTCCCAAATTTTTATCTCTTGTCTCTGTCTGCACCGTAGGTTCGTCTAATGAAAGCCCAATGCGTGGTAAGCACAAAATAAATCCGTTTAGGTGCCAGAGGACCACTCAATAAATTCACGAGAAGTTCTAAATCGGCTACTATTGAGCTGATTCCCGAATGGGGCCAGGGAGATAGCTATTTTTGTAGAATTAAGTACTCGACATTAATACATGTAATGTTCTAGATTAAGTAAGATTTTATACTTAATAAATTTCAAGGTTTAAAACCAATTTTCCTTTTTGTTTTCGATCGGTATTAGTCAAAATGATAAGAGTAACAGAAACAGTGCGTAAAACGTATTTGATTCGTACCGTAAACTTTACTTATTCCTAGAAATTTGCTGAACCATAGATAATATTATCTACTAGCTTTTGTCCGCGACTTCGTTCGCGTCGAATAGTAAGGGTCTGAAGATTTTTGGTAGAAAAACTATTCCATGTCCTCTCTCGAGACTAGTCTACTCTCCAAACTATGTCTGTACCAAATTCCACAGAAATCTGTTCAGTAGTTTAGGAGTAAAGAAAAGACCGACAGACATACAGACAGAGTTTCTTTCGCATTTATAATATTAGTTTAGATTTGGATGTTTCAGATATGATGGTGTTATCTGTGTTATAGAGAATATATATATACATATTGCATATTCTATTTTTCAGGTAATCTGTAGGGATAGATAAAATTATTTTATTTAGGAATCTGTTATAGTATGCATATCATACTCTAAAGGGTATTCTGGCATTTTGCCATCTCGGATCGTCACTCTAATCCTCGGCAGAAAAACCAACACTACAGGAAACAATTGCATAAAAATAAGTTTTCAAAATGATGCAGGTACTGATTTCTTTCAAGTGGTATATTTTGTATACTTAAATAAAAAACTTAATTGTTATGGAATAAAATTCAACATTTCAAGATGGACTCATATCACCAGCTGGGGTTGTGGGTGCAAGCGAAACAATGTACCCGACCCCAGGCCCGGCAAGTGAAGTAACGAGATGGTTTTTAGTCAGTAAGAGTCTGACACTCCCTTTTGCCCCACCCAGGGCGGGATAAGTTAAGTGACCATTTTCTTTTTGTCTCCAAAAAGCCTTTAGTTACACAGAACGAGTAACGATGGAGTTTCTTGCTCGTTCTTCTCCATTCGAAACTACAATTTGGAACGAGCACCTAGCTTCACTGACGAACAGACTGACAGACTACTATTCTATTTTGACTTTTCAAAAGTACCTATTTATGGTTTAGTTGGAATAAATGATTTTGATTTGATTTGATTTGATTGATTTGAGAACATACTTTCAAAGAGCAACATCCGTGTAAGAAGAATTGTCTAACAAGTGTAATCGAGAACCGATAGTTTACACGCCACTAAGTCAATGTAAATATGTAAGAAAAAGATCGCCTTTACGTGACCGGCTTCACATATGAGATTTACTTAATTTGTCGCAAGAAGCGGTTCGGGCAAACAGCCCGGCTTTGCCCGGGACACTTTATAACCAGCACTACGAGTTTACTGGCTCTCCCGACATTTCCTTTGAGCCACATTTTAGTCTTTTCCGTCAGGATTTATAAGATAAATTTGTTTTACATTGTTAGTTTCTGAAACATGTTTTTCAAGTATATTTTTGAAATACATAAGTTACTGACTTTTCTATGAAATTGTGTCTATTATGTTTTTTTGCTGGATTTGTAGATGCAAGCTCTATGATTAGACCTCGGTCCAGCTCGAAACAGGATAAATAACGGGATGGTTTTAAGTCATTAAGAATTTGATACTCCATCTCACCCGACTCAAGATGGGAGAAGCTATTAAATTGGTACCAATATAAAAAAAGGGATTTCATGATACAAAAGTTCACTTTTAAAATGAAATGAAAAATAAGCACTGATGAATTTGTCAATTAATTACTTTTATAATATCGAAAACCAAAACGAATACATGATCCATTTTGGTTGAAGTCATTTAGAAATTTCGAAAGCATATACATACATTTATTTATAAGTACATTCTTAATTGTATCCTTATCCAAGCCATAAGTTGAAAAACAAAGAAAAAATCTTATTTTAATCGGCAAAAGACACATTTCAGCAAAAATTAACAGTAAAAATATTATTATTCGTCTCTTAGGATGCTGAACATCTCCATAAGACCTTGGCCTTCAGGGCAGCCGGAGTAGATGGAAGCACAGTTAAACATCTGCCGTCCAGCTGTAGCCGCATCATTGTAGGGTGACATCAAATAGTCCAAGTCTTCGTCCTTATTGTCATCAAAAGCTGTCTTCCCGTAGTCTGGTCTGGAATTTAGAAATGAGAATATTATGAAATATTTTATTATTAGAGACAATAACATTTTAACAATTTTTAAATTACACCTTAGTTTGAAAAGTATTTGCTTAAATAACCATTTAACATTTTCATTTTCTGAATGTAGCTTGTAAAGATATTAAACTTCATTTCATTTATTCAGTTAATATAGTTTTGTACAATTTTTTGCTCAATACTCAAATTCTTGGTTTTGCAAATGCGAATATTTAAAAACAATGTAAACTGTTATATTTCTTAAAAAAAAACTGTTACGTAATAAAAATAGATCCACCGTTTACTCAATCACAAAGAAAGAAATGAATTACGTACTATCATTATAACACAGCCGGGGTTGTTGGCTAAAGCGTAATATTGTATCCCGGTCCTAACCTAGATTCTGAGAAGGATGTAGGTGTTTTTAGATATTAGCCTAAGTATTATTACATAATCCACATATTTATTAAAATCACTCTAAAATTACATTTTTAAACATTACTATAAATTAAAATAAAATAATATTTAAAAATATAAAAGTAGGAGCCTACCAGCAGCGGGAGCAAGGTCCAAGCCGCCGGTGGTTAGGGCTCTAGAGACAGGAACCTTCTCACAATACGTGCCGTTTCAAGGAGAAATGCCTTCTGTATGAGGCCCTTGATCCATCCGCCTAACGTCAGCCTCTTAAGGTGGTTGGCTTTTGGGGACTAAGCCATTTGCCGACACAACTATCGGCACAATGATAGCCGAGTCAATGTGGAATCACATGTCAACAATCTCGTGAGCCAAGTTAAGATATTTTAATTATTACATATTTATTATTAAAACGCAAATCATAGAATGGTAAAGCCCAAAACTCAACAGTTGTCTTTACCAACATCACAGAATGTAGTACTATTTTCGTGAGCTTCGCAAAAATATTTAACTACGGTTATTTTCGTGAATATATTTTATCACTGCTGTCATATTTCCAAGTGATTTAATTAGCCGATATGTAATTAATTGTAAAATATTCATTATGGCGGGAGCGGGATCGATGCCCGGTGCGGTGAATGACAGTAAAGTAATCTGATTACACTTTCATGAGTTTACTGATTGGAGCTTATCACTTTATTTAATGAAAATATAGAAGAATTACTTAAAACGAAACAGTTATTTAAAAAAATATGGAATATAATCATGATTTTATTGTATAAAGATTTTAAAGTTTAATTCCGTTAAATAAACGAATAAGATTGGAAACATTTGACATTAATAATATTGGTATTTATAGTTGACACAACAATTTTATAAAAATAACATGATTTATGTCTCGGCAATCGGCACTGCTCATGGACAACTGCAACACTAGAGTGATATCCTGCCGGTCTTCTGGGGATAAGAGTTACGGAGTTTAGAGATGGGAAAGGGATTGAGCAGACGAAAAAGTATTGAATACAAAAGATGTTCCTTAATTCATTTTTAAAGGTTTATGTCATTCTTTCGCCCATTCTCTATACAGGAGAGATGTTGAATACATTTTAAGCTGATGAAACGACAGAGCAGGTTCCTAACCTATCCGGAATATTTTTTCGTAAAGGTCGGCTACTCTGTAGGTCTGGTATGGAGTACTTTTACAAGTCAACATGCATTTTAATATGATTAAGACCTTAATAAACCTAAATATAATAGGTCTTTACCTATGAAATTGCCGTTTTGCATGAAAAAAATTAAACGAATTTTTTGATTTGAAAAATCTATTAGGTGCTAGTATATTGAGATTTCATTATTCAGATGCTCAGTATCTCCGAAGCCCTAGGCCTAAGCCTACCCTAGCCTTAAGTAAATGAACAATACTAAAGATATTAATCCACATCATCAGCCTGTAAACGGCCGCTGCGGAGCAAACACCTCTTCTCACATCGAGAAGGTATGAATATTTAACACCACTCCTGCACAAGGTGGATTGGCGATGTCAAACTCATAACAATCAAACATTATAAGTTCAGATTTCCTAATAATGTTGTCCCTAGTCATATTTTTTTTTTTTACTTTTTATAAAAACGTTGCCCCACGTTAGGATTTTCTCCAGTGTCATGGGTGCTGTTACAAACATACAATTTTACATACACAAGACACTCAGACCCGGAACAACAATTTGTGGATCACACAAAGAGTTGTTCCGTGCGGGAATCGAACCTGCGACACGTTGCACGGCAGCCAGTTGCCCAGCCACCGCACCAACCGTGCAGTCAAAAACAAATGTTAGTGATGACTAAATAATTTTCGAAAGTAAGTATAACTCATAAAAAAAATTTTAAGCCTTATGCATTGGAATCGAATGCAACCTTCGGACCACCACAACAAGTTCACAGGACATCACAAGTGCTTTATTGCTGGTGAAAATTGTGACCAGTGTCCAAAATATTGTATTTAGTCATCAATGGCTCGCGTGGCCATGGAACACCATTCCAGCTGTAGACAATCACGGTGCACTTACGTGAGTAATATATGAATTATTTCTCCCACCAGACCCTCCTCTTCTACAGGGTACTGTGCAGCCTCGCAGATAGCTCGATAAACACACTCTTCACCATTTATACCTTTCCTGAAAATAACAATTGTTTAAATTAAACAATTAATCACAACATTCGGTCATAGTATCCAATGTATTGCTACTTGGTGTATGTGTGCAATAAAGTATATATATATAAATAAATAAATAAATTGCATTTGAGGATTTACTGTGTGGAGGAACTTGGCTTTTCGTCTGTGACACCATGACCTCACAGTTTGTTTTGCCATGTGAGAAAAGTTACCGGAGGCCCAATCTTTGCCACATCACTAATCCCTTTAAACCTTAAATACCTAATAACGTGCAAAAAGTTAGCAACGCACTTGTTACTTATGGGGTTAAATCACGGTAACTTGGGACACAATAGAAGAAGTATTGGTGTGAGAACGCCGGCGTTCGCTTGGAGTTTGGTGAATTTAGGTGTCCCTTGGCGATACTGATTGCTTGCCACATGATCACATGATCCATCTACTTTTTGGCCTCCCTTCCTCATAAAATAACTGCCATGTTTCATCTAGTAGCTATAAAAAAGCATATTTCATGTTATACGTGAATTCTAGTGAGTTGCTATCTGCGAGAGACCATTGCCAAAAAATAAAGTGTATCCTAACACTAATCGAAAATTGAAATCATTTTCGTTTAGTATTAGAATAAATGTATCATTTTTATAAAACATTTTATTTTTTAAATTAATGTAAATATTTTAAAGATCAACTCACGATCGTAACATATCGGCAACAGCGGTGTAAAACGTCAGCCTTTCATCCTTTCTAGCAGCGAGCTCAGCTTCCCTCTGTTCCCTAGAGACGGTCTTAATGAAGTAATACTGAGACAATTCACTGATGTTCTGGAATTGCACGTACTGGTATTGGAAGTTCGCTGCGAACGCCAGACTCACGTAGTCTTCCGATTTGATCGGTGCTGACAAACCGATAATCAACTAGAAAAGCGGTGGAAAATGTGTGAATTTGTGTAGCAGGTGGCTGGGTTTTTTTTTGAGAGATTTGAAGTTTAATTGCGACTTAAGAATTATTTTTACTATGTTTTTTTTATGTGATAGGTCGGCAAATGAGCAAACGCATTACCTGGTGGTAAGCAATCAGCGCCACCCATGACACCCGCAACAGGAGTAACGAGTGTATTGCCGACCTTTTTGGGTTTAGGGATTTAGAGATTTAGGGAATAGGGGGAGGGTGGAAGGATCGGGCCACCGGTAACCTCCCTCATACGGCTAAATACAACGCTGTGGTTGTTTCACCCCGGTTGTCTATGAGGCCGTGGTATTACTCCGGTCGAGCCGACCCATTTGTGCTGAAGCATGGCTCTCTCACACTTGAAATAATGGATGACATGGTGTCGGACTAATAATGGATGACATTGACAGGGTATGGAAATTAAAAGAAACTGTCCGTTACATCATAAAAACATCAGACACGTATTTTTTTGTGTCATTTAAGATAACAATAGTTGTACAAAACAAAATAATGTAATTTAACAGTAGAGAGATCGTATAATATACATAATATTATTATATACTTAATTGCAACATCACAGGAGAAGGAATGGCGGGGGAGGGAGGTTTAAAGTCTAAGGCTCCCTTTCGCCTCACATTGGGCGTGAAAGAAGCCATTGGATGATTTTCCCATCACAAAAAACACGTCCTATATAAACAATAAAAATATAATTGAATGTTTTTTAATTTCGTATCAAAAGAAATCAATAAAAATTGTTTAAAATTTTAAATAAATAAAAAAAGTTAAATCATATCTCTCCTATTATCGGAATCTGGAATAGGCCCCAAAAACTCTCTATTAGCACAAAATCACCTAAAATTTTTATTACAGCTTGTTCGAAAAGGGACCATGACGTATTGTATTCCATGGTGAAAAAGACATTGGATTTCATACCTTATAAGTACCTCCATAAGGATAAACTAAAGGAACACTGTTGATCTGCCGCTTGACCATCGCCTTATGTTCCTCTTCGTCATTAGCAGCCACGATTACGACGAGCACTACAAGTCCGATGCCAATCCAGTTCAAACTGGAAATTAAATTCAAAAATGTTCTTATTTGTATTCAACTGTGTAATACGGTTGTTTCCAACTTACTTATTACTAATTATTTCTTAAAATTAGCTTAAAAATATCTAAAATTTTGTGTATCAATCGATCGATGAATAGTTAAGTATAGTTCTTTTTCGATATTTCATTGTATTGAAACGTCGAATTAGTTTATTTTTGACCTATGAAACAACCCAATTGATTGACTGAATCGATTGGAACATTATTTCTATTGCCGGTATTATGAATCAAAAATATAGTTAAAGTTTGCTAATAACAATCAGGTGGAATTTTTATTCAAATACCTTACTACATTAATTCCACATTAATTCCACCAATTTATAAATGAAACTAAAAAATAACATTAGTAAAACTTATTTAATCTAATAAAGACTTTATCAAATAAGAAAACTAAGGGTTATTTTACATAAAATCGTGACGTTATTAGTGGACTCTCTAATGTAGTATGTTCTTTATTATTATTTATAGTAAACTATATTTTGGTGTAGGCCGGCAAACGAGCAGACTGGTCCACACGCCGAAACTCTACGCAAACCTTGTCTCTTGCCGTTTTTGTGTCACTCCGGTCGAACTGGCCCATTCGTGCCGAAGCGAGACTCGCTCACACTTTTCAAATTTTTAATATTTCAATTTGAATTTCGTAAAAAGAATATAATTTGGTTGGTTGTAAACTACCCTATTCGTAGGTAAAGTGGTCATGTATTACTTATCAAACTAAGTTCATTTTCTTTTACGCTTGACAGAAAACTATGTACAATTATGTACGAGTATATGTGTGTTCTCCTAGGTTATTACTTCAGAATGATGATGATCAACACTGATTTATGTGCTAATTATTTATGTCATCAATGCTATTCACGGTTGAAAACGGACCCAAGTGGTTGAACTCGAATTCTGACTTGATTGATGCAAAATTCAGTTAATAAAGATTTTTAACAAAATTGATCATAGTTTGCTGATGGACGCCAGGTCTGATTGTAAAAATATCCTAATGTCTTTAGAAAAGATTCTTTTGGCTCTTTTAATGAAGTATTCCATTTGATTTATTATCATAATTAAGATTAAGATATTGAATTTATTACTAGGTACAATGTTTCCGCTTGGCAGAGTCTTCATCTTAATAGCCATGTAATAAATATATACGCACATTATAACTCAACAAAGCACTGCATACTGAACTGTTGGAATTCAAAGAGTGTATTAATTCTCCATCGGTCATTTGTAAAAATATATTATTAAATATATTATATTAATATTCTTCTTTCAAACGCTGTCCAACTTTTACACTGGGCTGTTATCCCATTTATGAAATCCCTTCAATAACAAACAGCCAATCAGGATTAGACTTTCATGTCATCACATTCTACAAGTACATGCCTATAAGTAGATACACACTGCTGATCATAGGCTCGTACGCACGAGGCTTAAGGTTTAAGCATTAATCGCCACGCTTTCGTCTATTAGGGATGTTTAAAAAAACTTTGAAAAGTTGTACGTTTTTAATTGTTTTTGTATATTTTTCGTCTTTAACTACACATAATGTATTAACAGCGTAATAAACGTTTATGTTTTCTTCTCTCTTTCTTTCTTTACAGTAAATTATAACACTACAATAACAAATAGCCAATCACAGACTTTAGCTCCTTATACACTTTTTACCTTCACACTATTCAAACTTTTACATTACATTACATTGAAATCTTACCCCATTGTTTATGATTGCAATCTTCAACAACAAACAGCCAATCAGGGATCAGAAATAAGAACCCACATTTTCCACGTGTGTCGAAGGCGCGTATCAGTGTCTTGTTATCGATGTCGTCAGTGCACCCGGCTTGAGTGAAGCCGGCTTTATAAGGCAGTGTTCATACTGGCCACAGGATTTAAGCATACATTTTTTTTCAGCTGGGTTTGAGGTTGCTAGTTGTCTAAGGCATCTGGGTCAGGACCCGGAACTGCAGGAGAAGAATTAGGGTGTTTTTTAGCACTCCCTCTTTCTTTGGATAAATAATTGGATGATTTTCCATCTTAAAAAAGAAGCACATTTTTGCAGTCGACATTTTTATCACTTTATTATTATTATTTTTTTTGTTTCTATTAGATATGGATATTTGAGAATATATTTTATTATTCAAATAGTGTAATTTTGTAGTTTTAGTCGATCATGAGAATAATCAAATAGGTGTTAAAATAAGTACCAGCGTGGTTTAAATAAGTACCAGATTATGACTATTAAAAACTTTATACAAGAAAACAGTATTGTAGCGGTGCTGAAGGAAATTTAAAAGAAATATCTATAACAATACTTAATATAGACATTTTTTTATTAATTAACAATTAAAATAGAACATTACATCAAGAGTAAAAACAACACTATTTAAAGGTAAAAGCACTCCAAACGACAACGAGCTCCAGTGAAATCTACTTCATAAAAGCTACTATTAAAAATTTTTGAAAACTTTTCAGTTTTTTCCTGTAATAAGACAAGTAAACACGAAATTAAAGTTAACAACTTGCGCTCAAGTAAAAGTTGTTGCTAGTAAAAATAGTTCCAGTGTGAACGTTGGTTTACAGCCTTAAGTCTAGTTTGGTCACATGACTCCGCCCACCTCACTAATATGTTTATCCAACAACATTTTAGTCACGAGACAACACCTTTAAACTGACGTATTACGTGTACTCTTATATATTGATTGCTATCTGGATTTATATTGTTGTGAATCGAATTATGCTTTTATGCATTTTGTTTAATTTGCCATGTTGTTTATAATTATGGTTTGGAACAATTCAGGGCTTAAAGTCGGTTTCATAATATTGAAATGCAACTTTATTTACCGTAAATAGATTCATTTGAATATAGAACGTCATTTGTATGAACTATGTAGGAACACAGATGCTGGTTTTAACTTAGGGAAAACGATTGGACTGCCGGTAACCTCACTCACACGGCTAAATAAAAAACTGTGATTGTTTCACGCCGATTTTCTGTAATCATTACTTGTAAATAAAATAAATATTTAATGTTCAATAAACATAATAAACTGTGCATGGCTAATTTCTGAAGAAAAATATTGATTTACCATACCTACCAAGCGTGTATTTTAAACTGACTTGATAAAATAAATTCGAACACAAAAACCAAGAAAACACAATAAAACATCATTCTACGTGTATCGAAAAATAGCGCGTCTCATCCGCCTTAAAAAGGACATTCACAAATTTCCATAGAGTAACGTAATTTAGGACTTTCCAAATAAGCGCATTGTCTTTCACTCCCCACTTTAGTACGGAAAGCCACACAAGCATCATGCATGCGGCAAATATTTTGACTTTAATACTAATGTATATAAGTTCTTTCTATCCTTTTGTAAAAACAGGAGATTTGGAAATAAGTAGTTCAGTGCATAGAGAAAGAAGACAGCTGTTGTACTTGAATAGTTCTGTGTTACAGGTGAGTTTCGACTATTTTTTTTTTTTTTTTTTTGCTTCTGTCAATCCGCCTTGGATTCGTCCTCGTATTTATTTGTTGTAATTATAAAGTGGCTTCAATTTTCCGTTAAAAATTTTGTATTATCTTTTTCTCGCGTGTAAATACAAATAAATAATTAGCGGACTCGTTCCATCTACAGGTATTCTTAACAAAACATTTGACAATCGAGTTTTTGGTGGGTACATTCCTATTGTCAGAGACAGGTTTATTTAGAAGCTTTAAAAACTTATTTAGTAGTTCCTTTATTATGTAAAATTGTTTTGCCAATAAATAAACTACAGATACAAATTCAATAACATGAAACTATGAGTTGTAATAAAACTTTAATAAAATATCTATAAAATGAATCCACAACATACTGTATATTTTATTACAATTCAAAATCGGATAGGTCCCATTCGAACTCGCGCACGAAGGGTTCCGAGCTCAAATAATGATTCAGTCTTAACATAAAGCCAAATTATTTTAATAATAATTAATATGTTACGCTATCACAAATCATCAGATACAAATATTAGACAGATACAAAATTAGGTATGCCAAAGAGTTTCATGCATAATCCTAGTCAACTAAATCTGTTTATGTTTATTCGGAACATTTTTTCTATGAAGGGAAAATCGTCCAATGACTTCTCTCGCCCAGGGTGAAGCAAGAGGGAGAGTCAGAATCTTATAAAAACCTCCGTTCTGACTGAATAAAATCTCTAGGCCCAGACCACGATACCTTATTGAGCTTGTCCCAGAATCCCGACACCTATGGTGCAATTTTTTTTAGAGTATTCGCGATAGAGTGGCGGACTAGCAAGTATTTCACTTGATTAGACATGGGTATCCAACATCAGTATATTACAAATTTGGATATTGGGGATGGGGTAGGTAGATTGGACGTCTTAATTCATTAACCTTGAAGTAATCCACAGATAAATAAAACCGGTTTCACTCCGGCCGAGCCCGCCCATTTGTGCCAAAGCTCGGGTTCCAAACTGTACGTCAGTTTGGAACCTCAGTCATTTCAATAATTTTGTAAGACAAGAGACTTTTTTCTAGACTTTTTTTTAGATTTCCTCCATGTTATGGAAAATCATTTTGCAAAAGTCATCGAATAGCATTTTTTATAACCCCATATCCTTGAATGGCATTAGTGTTCCAAGACAGTAAAGGTACGAGAAATGTCCTAAACAAACAACGTGGAAGGACGAAGGAACCCACTGCGAATTTCTTACCATGAAATCGCCTTGAAGGGATCAGCATCTGGAAAAATGATTTTGTTGTGCAACCCGACTAACCATCTCTTGTAAGTAACCGAGATGGATAAATGAATACTGGAGCTCACTCTTGGGCAATTTGACAATGTTAGAAGATGTTACTATCCCTACTACGAAACCAAAAATGAGAAGAATTCACCATAGTGTTGGCAATTGGAACGTCTAAGGTCATTTAGGGGCTGGTTAATTAATTATTTCTATGTTAGGTGTCAGTGAAACACGCACGTGAGGCAACGACAACTTCTTCACCAAAACAGGAGTTTAAGTAAGGAAAAGCCATGCACTTATGGGCCGACTCAACTGGTGTAGTATCACAACCTCACAAAATAACGTCTTGAAACTTTTTTCTTTGTAGGGAAAGTCTTCTCTCCCCTATATCATGAGGGAGTTTCAGACTCTTGCTGACTAAATTCGCGTTCTTTCTCCTGCTCCAGGCCGGGGTACCTTAATCCTTCCCCCCCCCCCCCCCGTCTCCCTTCCGAAAACTCTTACATCCCTAATAACTCACAAAAGGCTAACGTATTTGTAGTAACTCCTATAGAGTTGAATTGTTCGAGTGTCCATGGGTGGCGGCTTTATTGCCAACCCATTGGTACCGTAAAGAAAGAAATATCGTAATCTCAGTAATAGATATTTATAAATTTAATGGATGAGATAGCTAAATAGACAACTATTTAATGCAGGAAGCGTTTAATAAAATAGAAGTTACAAGACACAGACACAAAAACAACTTCTTTGAGAGTTCACACCAACATCGAAAGCTAACCAAAGTTCCAAACTACAGACCTTTTTAAGAAAGTAGAAGTCCTTTACAAGTAGTTTAGATGTAAATCGTGACAGATAGACGACACTATTTTCCACAAGCTCGATCACTTTGCTTAGTGATACACACTGTTCAAGTCCAGAATGGAACAACATCTAGAACAGGTGATTTGGGCCTCTATGAAACAATGAAACAATGAATTTATTTTTGCAAATAGGCCATAAAACGGCACTTTTACACGTCACTCTGAAATAACTACTGCAGTAAAATCTCGCAAGAAGAATAAAAACTCCACGAAGTGATCAAGTTGCATCTAAAGTTCTCGTTGCCATGCAAAATTTTGCTCCACATTCATACTTCATAGACACATCATACTTTAATCAGATATTACCTGAATTGACAAATTTTGCCGAATAAGCGGTTTTTATGCAAGACAAATGAACCTGATAGCAGATACGCAAAATAAACAAGTTAATGATAAGCATACTAGTTTCATAAACGTAAACAGGTCCTAAATTAGGGTCATGGTGGTGGATAGATCCGAAAAGTAGAAAATCACTACCACTTTAGAAAAAAAATTCATAGTGAATAACTTTATTTAGGTCCCAGAGTTTCCCTAAATCAGTAACAACGGATTATCCGAAAGAAATTGCCCTGGAGATATAACATGGATAATTGCACACGCAAGTTTGATAATTAATCGGGATGTTAAGCATCATAGGGAAGATCAGCGATAATAGCGCCACGTCAAAGCTTGATAGTATGTGAAGAGATCGCAATATCCCAATCTAAAGCAAAACCTACCTGGATAGCACTCTAGTTTTCTCCATCTTCCTTTAGGATTTCGGAGGAAGATGCTGCGTATTCCCTTGTCAGCATTTCGCCCCAACGCCTTATTACTGCGTGAACCCAAAATCTTTTCACGACTGTCGTCCTTCTGCATTCAAATATAGACCTTGAATACACAGACTGGTCACATTGCAAGGAAAGATGGAAACAATCTGTTGGATCAAAAGGCACGTGTTTATAGCAATTTTTTTTATCAAAATCTGCTTTAAAAGCAGTACGGATCTAATTGGACCCTCCACAATGACCTCCACACTTTATGAAAAAGATGCAGGAAGGTCGTGCGGAAGAAAATTGAAAACATTGAAAACAGAAGGGTGGTCATGTCTTTCATTAATGAGGAACATGACGCAAGAAGGAGGGTGGTTGCTTTAACAACTCTTTTCTATGAAATAAATTAATTATCTAGTTAATAAGGTACTTTGGTAAACATTTTACAATTTTACTCATTGTATTACAACATTTTGCATTTTACTACGACATTCACCCGATATGCAATTATCTAATAAAATTTTTGGCGCGGCACAAAATAAGCGTGTACAGAGAACCTCCTTTTCTGTTGTCGGTTAAAAATTATCGTAAATAAATACTAACAGTTTCTATTGGTTATCCAAAAAGATTACCATCACTTAACGTAGTGGATCGCTTAAAATTCGGCAACTCACGCCACTCTATGCGCACGCGCCGTATAAACACCATGTTTTACAAAGAAGTCGTATTGACACTTGCTATTGCATCCGACCTACTTATATTTCCTGTAAATGGGAAAGAGATGGAACTATTGGATGGGATACTACATAGAAATAAGAGACAAGTTTTGTTGTGGCCCAATAGTACGTTACTTCAGGTAAGTGGAATTTCATAAAAAGAAAAATATTATTATTATTTATAGACATCCCTGCATTTTAACTATGGTGAAGTCAAAAAAGATCGAGTTTGATTTATAATTTATGATCAAATCCATCATAATTTTCAATGTCCCTAAATTCGATAAGACATTGCAATAAAAAATATTCAATTTAATTAAATCAGCTTTTGGTCGAAGCCTATCAATGTCCTATTACAAGCTAGTTACTCGTTGTTATCTTGAACCTAAGAATTTTCCAATTAAGTGATTTCCACTGTCGGGGATTTTAGGCTTATTGCGATAAGATAAAGCTCTAGAGAATCCATTGATCTACTATTACCTAACTCCTATCGAGTAATTGAAAGCCAATAAATTGAACATTAATTTGATGTTAGAGTAGGCAATGAATGTGATTTGTACAAAAATAGTCCTGAAATTATAGGTTTACTTAGAAATATGCTCATCCAGATTAAACGGATATGTAATTCGTTACATTATTATGCGACTGAACAAGTGAACATTTTATATACAAAATCTATTTATGTATAAGAAATTGTATTAGGTAGTGAGATCTTATAACTCAAATTCGATGGAAAAGTTGTAGCTACTAACTTGATATACAGTTACGTATAAAAGTTTATTTATTTTTTTATTTTATTCATATTGCACAATGTACATATAATGTCAAGTATAACATACAGCCAGTACAGTACATTACCCTGTTAGGGCGCAGCAATTTAACTTATAACTAGATAATAATAACATGTTATGTTTTTTATTACATAAGTTATCACTTAATGAACACTATATGAACTTATTCATTATAAATGGTGGTACTCGATTCTTTTAAAAGTGATTTCAATTTGGTCTTTAATATGTATAAATTTATAATACTAGCTATCCCAGCATACTTTATTTCACTGTTTGTGCAACGTGCTATTAATTTTATTGCAAAAAAAGAATGGTCGTTACAAATACATAATTTACTTGTACGACGTAAACGTTTTTGAAAGTAACTACATGCATCTTTACAGCCAATTTTAATTTAATAAAGTACTTAATCAAATTCATGAAAAATAATTTAGAAAGACATTCAGAGGCATTCATAGAGAGCGTATTCTTATTGTTCTTACTACAAATTTAAAATGCCACATCACGTATAACTTTATACTGAAACAATATTTCTAAAATGTATTTCATTACGTTTTCAGACATTAATATATTACTTATAGGTAACAATTTTTATTATAATCGATTCAGTAGTTTCCATTATTTAAGCTTAAAAGATACGATATCCATGCGGCGTAAACGCTCTCAAGTACCATATATTTCTATCTAATTTAAAAAAGGATTCTTTGTCTATTACCCACTTTTTATTTCGTATCACATCATCTTTTTCGCCTAATATATATTCATATTTCGTGCGTTACCCTGTTCATTTCTATTAACAGCGAGGTATTTCACTCTGTGAGCGAGGCTACCGGAGGCCCAATCCCTATCTTCCACCCATCCGTCCCTTATTCTTAAATCACCAATACCCGTAATCCCTAAAACACAGGCACTTGCAAGTCCTATTGCGGGTGTCCATGGTCGACGCCGATTGCTTACCATCAGGTAATCATCGGCTTGTTTGCCGCTGTATTATGTAAAAAAAAAATTTTTTGGGGTCGGTAGCTCGTTCGACTCATATGATATTCGCGGGAACAGAAATAATGACCAATGGATTTTTTCCTTATGTTATTCATATTATTGTTTAACAGGATAAGCTGATGGTAAGTAACTGGTACATTCCATGGACTTACAACACCTGAAGAGATGCAAGTTTGTTGTCACCCTTTTGGGGGTTAGAGATTTGGAGATTGGTGGATTTAGAGATTAGGTATAGGAGGGGTTTGGCCTCCAATAACGTCACTCAAAACAATGAAAGCGTTTCAAGCCAAGGCCGTCACCAACCCTCCAATTGGGCCGGACCAACCGTGCTGAAGCAATTAAATTTTGTATAAGTACATAACTATAAAACAAAGTTGCTTTTTCTGTCTCTGTAAAAACTGCTCTTACTTTGCAAATAATTTCTATGCGTTTTTGTAGATGTGTGATTGAAGGTTTATGTTTATAATAACATCGACTAAATAATGGAGAAAATTAGTATCAGTATTGCACTCGTAAGTAGTCGCAAGGGTCGCTAGTCTATCTATATAAGTGTTTGCATAAAATGCGGTGTCAGATCAAAACGTACTCTAAACATGATGAGAACATTTTATCTATAAAAATGTGACTACTTTTTAGATTTTAACACAATAAGAGAGGAAAGCTCCATTTTATCGCAAAGAGGCTAGCTAACTCAGTTAAGGGTTCCCTTTACAACGAAATATAGCAGCATAATCTAATCGTGTGGTCCCGTTTAAAAAATAGACCCCTCGTTGGTGGCGAAGTGAGGGGTATTATCGAGTGAAATAAAGTTATTGAGTGCATCTTTAATGCAATATTGTCACTTAGTTTTGAAGTGAAGAATATGTATATTAGTATTTGTTTATCGGTTATCGAATAAAAAGTTTTCGTTATGTATTAACCTTTTTGAGTTTTGTAAACCCATGAATATTTAAAATTACTGTCACTTGTTTTTTTATTTGCTCATATTTGCTATTCTTACTTTTTTAGCGGTGTTACTTAATTGACATAGAATAGTTAAGAGTGGTGATTATTTAAACACTTTTTTTTTAATTGACAGTGTTTTCATGCATTTCTTGCAGTTTTATCTGATACTGATCAAAAACAACCTAAACAATGAACTATACAATTTAATTAAAATATTTTTGTTTACAGTTCAACGCTGGGGTTGGATTTCCCAGCGCAGCGAAAAGCATAAATGTGAACTATGCATTTCAAGCAAATTTTCAACTACCTTGGAATAGAACGCAGATACCTATCGACATACTAGAAGCTAATTCTGGATACGTTGGGACAGCTAGAAAGAAGAGGGAAGCCGGGATAAAACATGATAGTAATGGGGATTATCAGGATGATGCAAAGCTGTATCACTTCTACAAACATGTTGAAGCTGTATTAGATGGGTAAGTAATTAAAGATGATCTTAAAATATGATTGGACGTATGAAGAATAAATATGGAAGAAATTACGACAGTAAATGTTATATTCCAAACTAGCTACTCTCGCGGTTTCACTCGCTGCTGGGCTCCATTTGATTGCAGCGGGATGTTTTATAGCCTGTAGCACTCGGGAACATTGTAGCTATCAATAAGTGAAAGATTTTTGGGAATCCGACCAGTGGTTCCAAAGATTACCCCCTACATTCAAACTTACAAATTTTACCTCTTTATAATATTAGTATAGACTATGTAGCTTCTGCCCGGCACTTCTTCCGCGAAGAATAGTGACATTGGGCAGTTTTTTCTTTTTGTTTTGTTTGTTATTATTATCAACGTCTAATTTAGGTACATACAATGTATACAGGTACATATACCTGTCCTATCACCAATATGTCCTGGACCTATCAACAATGGTTGATAACGTTTTTGTTAGCCTAACTGACAAAATTGACACGTATGTTCAGGTATAAGTTGAGCTAGTTACAAATTTAATAAAAACTGCGAAACAAGCCCGACTATAACTAGACCCACGCGTACGTTGCATCACGTTCAGGCCGCCCCTCTAAAAGGCCATGAAACTACCATAGATGGAACTCATCATGGGAGCTGGTTGTCCGGTTTCTAGCTGGGGTTGTCGGTGCAATCGTAATGGATGTACTTCTGCGTTCGTAGCAAAAGAAGGAACGAGTTGGTTATTAGTTAGTAAAAGTTTAAGCGTGGGAGAGCTATACTTACTTCGGCACGAAATCGGTCGGCTCGACCGGTAGAGTGATACCACGGCCTCCCAGAAAATCGGCGTGAAACAACCACAGCGCTGTGTTTCGCCGTGTGAGTGAGGTAACCGGAGATCCAATCCCTCTCCTCCCCCAATGTCTCCCCAATCACAAAATCTCCGAATTATTTATCATCGACCAAAAGGTCGGCAATGCACTCGTAGTTCCTCCGTTTTTCCATGGACGACGCTAATTGCTTACTCCGTCTGCTCGTTTGCTGACTCGAATATCATAAAAAATTTCTTCCTCCCTCAAAAAAAAACCCTCAACTACCAACAACAACCTTCACTTGTACCGAAAAACAACATATGTAAACTCGTTTTTTATTACAAGCCACTTCTTTACAGTTCATGCAAGCCTAGTACCTCTGTGCAAAATGTCTTCATAGTTAATTACCAAGTTAATTGCTACTTTACCACGTTCGCTAGTCACATGTGGTTAGCGCGTAGTTTCGAGTTTACGACAACATGTAAACTTAGCCGTTACTTCAGTTTAGTGATAAAAGATAACATTGTAAAGGTTATCTTTCACTGTTTAAGTTGGTTTGTTTAACCTTTATAGAAATTAGGTGGCAGTTCATTGTGGGAAGGATGAAGGGTTTAAAAGGGCTGTTTTGTAGTTTGTACCACATATTTAGTAGCCTTTTAGGTTCCGTAAGTGTCTATCTGGGTTCTTATCAAAGATAAGGGGGGTAACCATGGTTAGTCCCCAGGGCGTTATAAGATTACGATTATACTTTTCTTAAAGGTAATTTTGATAGGTGATTTTTGACGGGGGATAACCATCAAAATTCTTCTCTCATCCTCGTTGGGGCAAAAGGGAGTATACCTATCTCTTTTGACTAAAAGCTACCCTGTTTTATCTCCAACTTCGAAACCAGGGCTCCAATATATTATTGCGCTGACGATTTTCATAGACCTGAGTAGCGCAATTAAAGAAAAGACTCATATTATTTTCATCAGTTACATATTACAAATGCTTGTGCTACGCATATTGGAAAAAAAAATATTAAGGGTTTTTCTTATTTAGAATTCAAACTTCAAACCGTTCTAAAAAGTCAATATATTTATGCAGATATGGTTTATAATAAAACAATTAATATAAATAATCATGCACAGAACTAATATTCCGGTTATCAACTGTTAAATTGTTTATGTAAGGGTTTGGTTAACCGCGGCAGTTCAACATATTACACACACACACATCATGTTAACATAGGATAAAACGATATGAGGTTGGTTTTCTGTATTGTTCACATATTTGAGTAATGTTTGGTAAAATTATTAATTGCGAAAACCCCAATAAAGTGGTTAGGAAAAAGCAGCAGTTTTGGACGCCCGCAATACTAGGGGAATCATCAATGCATAGCCGGCTTTTTGAGCATAAGGGTTTTGGTAATTTAGGGATTGTGGGAATGGAAAGATTGAACCTTAGTTAACCTCACTCACACGGTAAATACAACGCTCATTTATGATAATATTTGAAACCGATAGTTGTAATTAGTGATCCTAATGACAAGTCTACACTTGGCTTATGCACTACGACTTGTAAGCTCTTATGAACTGCGCTCATACGTTTTGCAATGGAAACGCCCCATACATGGTCAGTTCACGAGATGTTCCAGATCGGTTTGCAAGCTGCGCTTTTACGCGAGTTCTAAACGCTTTAGAAGACCAGAAATTACATAACTAAGTGTAGGAGAGCCATGTTTCAACACGAATGGTCATTATGGTTCGGCTCGACCGGAGTAATATCAGAGTCTCACAGAAAACTGCGTGAAACAACTACAGCGTTGTGTTCCGCCGTGTAAGTGAGGTTAGCGGAGGCCCAATTCCTTCCCTCTCCCATATCTTCCCAAATTCCAAAACCATTACCCCCAAAACCGCTCATAGATTCTATGGTGTTGTTTAGAACAAAAATCCAATAATACTTTCTTATTACCAACTCATATTCCATAAAAAAACGCAACTTTTTAAACTTCCGTTCTAAACGCACTCGATTCAAATCACGGCTCTTTTAAGTGATTTCAATAGTAAAGCGAGTGTGAATCCTAATTCGTTTGGCATGCCGCTAATCGCACTACTTATGCTCCGTTCAATTTGTTAGAGGAATTAGCACTTGCTGAGTTACTGTACTCAGATTTGTACTAATGAATTCTGACGTCATTAGGTCACGACTCAGATTGGTATTAGGACCTTATATATGCTAATTTGTAAGATAAAAGGATTCTTGTTATCTCAATGACTTACAACTTTCACAAAAGGTAATGTTTAGTTTAAGACCCGGAACTGAATTAAACCTGTTTTTGTTTATAGGTCAACAATTTATGTATATTTTGTACATAAAAATATCGTATTGGTATGTCCTTTCAAATATGAAAAAATATGAACCAATGCGTTCTACAATAACGTCTATATAACTTGCCAATTTCAATGAATCGTTTTAATTAGAAATATAGTCATGAAAATAAAATAAAAAATATATTATTATATTATCTTATTTGAAATCACTGTTCTGTTGAAAATTTAAAGGCATTAAAAAGTAAGCCAGTGCCGGGTAACAAACCTAAATTTATTAATTTATTATTTATAATCCTTAAAATAAATTAATAAAATAAAAATAATTAAATAATTTATTAGTTATCACCTCGTCAAATTATCCGATTTCTTACCAACTGAATCACTTTACAGTACAGTTATGGACAAAAGTACATATGTACATATATTATAAATTTGAAAAAGCTTTAATTAGAAGAAGAAAAATGTTGTTAGACTTTTTTTCGGGTGAAGCCCAATAATGTACCGTGGCCTCGGCCAGGAGCTGGAGAAGGAACGCGGAGGTTTTTAGTCAGTAAGAGTCTGACACTCCTCGCCACACCCTGGGCAAAGACTAGGTATTTGTGATCAGACTGACGGATCAAATTACCGATGACGTCACAAATCATTCCCGCACAGAACAACTCTTTGTGTGATCCACAAATTGTTGTTTCGCGTCTGGGTGTCATGTGTATGTGAAATTGAGTATTTTAACCGTACCCATGGCACAGCAGAAAAGCCTAGTGTGGGGCAACATTTTGTTTTAAAGAGAAAGATTCATTCCCAATCTACAACTAGGTAGTAACACCCCTTCGCGCGACTTCAAGACCAGAGATGGACAACAAGAGTAACGTCCGGTCTCCTGGGCAAGCGATGCAGAGGAAGGCCGCTTACGATATGGCAAGACGAGATTTTCAGGACAGCAGGCCATGATTGGATACAGGTAGCCCTGAATAGGGAGCAATGGAAATCGTTGGAGGAGGCCTTCAGCAGAGAAAGGGTTCTAGAAAACCAACTAGATACTGAACAAAACATAAATCTTCAAATGCATTTAAACTCATACAAACAAGAAGCAATATAGATATTACTATCTATCGTGGTCGAAGACTCTTGCCTTCCTCTCTCTCTCTCTTCTTCTCTCTTCCCTTTTCTGATGTTAAGGAACTTCATTCCTTGTTCTCTAAAGCTATCGGTATTTGCTTTAAAATACATCACAGTGTACCTACGTATTAATAAAATAACCTCAGATTTCGTGATGTTGTGTGAAGTAATCTGATGAGTTAAAAACGCTATTAAGTATTATTTTCACTAAATATTGTTAAAATAATATAACATTTCAAATATAAAATATATTGATTTACATTATTATTTTAAATTTAATAATAATTTAATATTTAGCATATAAACATATAAATTACATTTTTAAATATTTCTTAAAAATAAATAATAAAAAACATTTAAAAATATAAAAAATAGTGTGTAATATTAAATATTTAATGTTTAATAAAGATTTAATATTTTGAAATACACAATAAAATATTATGGTTTAGGTAAACGAAACATTCGTTGCACTTGTCAATGACCTCTTCATTATTTTACATTCAATCAGAATTTTATTTCATATTAGCGAGACAAAATTAGGTACATAAAATTCACAAATTCTCATATAATTTTGAAGTCGAATGTACTACTAATAAAAATGTTGATGTGAAATACAACTTCAAAACTCCTGAGTAAGGATGACTGTTCATTTCTTCAAATGTTTTGCTAATTATTTTATTTAATAAGCACATTAGCAGCCATTATAAATTTATTTATTCACTTATGTATTTGACTTTATTGAATGTTTGTTAGGATATTTATGTTAACGGATTAA